CAAGCCGAATCGTCCTCCAGCCCGCGACACAGTCACGGATCGACACAGTCGCCTCTCCGCAACACGATGGCTACCGGGCTGTTCGAGCTGTAACGGCGGATTTCATTATGGAACATAAAGAGGACTTCGAGGCGTTCATGGAAGAGCCCCTAGAGTCATACACTCGGAAGATCAAACTGACTGCCGAGTGGGGAGGGCAGTTGGAGCTGCAGGCGATTGCCCGAGCATACGGTGTGGAAATAAATGTTGTGCAGAAGGATGGGCGGATGGAAAAGATCGAGTCCGGTGACAGCGACAGCTTCGACGAGGAGGAGAAGCGCAAGCGCGTTATCTGGCTCGCTTACTACCGCCACACCTACGGACTCGGCGAACACTACAATGCCCTTGTGAAGAAGTCCTAAGCCACTCAGACCAACACTATCTCATTTCTGCTTTGGCCTTTTCAGTGGCCTTTTCAGTGGACCCGACTGTGCAATTGCAGATCTATTTTTGTCTTCGGTTTTTGCTAGGTGCTTTTCGGCCTTTCGGCAGATCTAGTTACGACGGCGCCAGATCGAGATTCGGTCGTGGATCACCCCGTTCTCGCCCTGGCCTACCTCGTGCGTACGCTCTGGCGTCCAATACGCCACTCTTTCCAGGCCGTCTTTGCTCGGTGCCCGTAGAGGTTCGTGCTTGACGACACCCTTTGCATCGTAGGGAACCTTTTCGCCGGGGTGGCTCAGATGTGCCATATACGCTTCCGATGGAGAGGCATATGGGGGCCCTGGGGCTTGCGGATCCTTGTGACGGGGGAACTCCAGGCAGATCAAGTTACCCGCTGGCGAAGGGGCCAGAAGCTGGGTGTGTCGGAGCGCCCATTTGGGTCGCATTGACGGCTCGAGGGCACAGAAGAACTGCATGATGGTTAGCCTGAGAACAGTGAACATAGGAACATGAGATATAGACAAAAGTAGTCACAAAATTATTGGTATCAAATCACGTGGCTGTATTCCCGCTTTGAGATGAATTTCACAACGTAGAGAGACACACAAGGGAGAGGAATCCATACCGTGTAATCATAAATAATATCAAATCCATTCAACGGGACACCAATCTCCTGCAACCAAGCATCATCGAAAAAGTCACCTTGAACCCAAGTAACCTTTCCCGTGCCGATGGTCTGATCCTGGACACGATACCAACTGGCATTATCTTTCTCCTCCTTCTTGCACGCATCAATCGCAGCCGCGCTATACTCGAGGCCATAAGCATCGAAGCCGAAGCTTGCCAGCAAGAGGACATCCACACCTCTCCCGCAGCCAGGAACGAGAGCCTTGCGCCTGTACGACTGGCCCTGTGCATCGGTGGCGATAGGCGCGCCAATTGTCGGGCGCTGATTGACGAGCGTGTCTTCCAGGGCGGGATTAGGGAATCCTCGGTCCCAGGGCAGATTGTCGCCCTTGTCCCACAGGGAAGCCCAGCCGTCGACGTATTTATCGCCCTTGTACTGGGAGAGGTGGGCCTGTACCTCGTTTGGGTTGATTTTGGTTTGTGTTGGGCTGGTCATGTTGGGTTTGGGCTTTGCTGTGGTTTCAGGTGATTAATTCTTGTCAAGAGGGACGTGGTGAGTTCACCGTCTTTATGCCATGTTGACGTCCGGGATCCATCGCCAGTCTACCAAGCTTATTAATCACCTCCTTGCAGCAGCCCTCCACCTGAAGATAGGCGATGCGGCGTACAAAGATGTTTCTGGATTGTCTTTAGTATACGCTCTGTTCTAACGACAGATTTGTATAATCATAGCAAGTACACCTGGATCTGCCCTACAATACCTTGTATATGGTGGGGTAGATGACGATAAGAATATGACTCTGGGGTATTTATTGACACACCTGGGCAGCTCAAGGTAACATCCGGGGAAGTACAATATAGGGATATTAAGCGAAAGCCAGGTAAGTCCATTGCGACTGTTGAATACTTTATGATGCAATCAGAATGTTGCATCTGTTCGATCACAGATTCTATTTTACGTCCATCTAGACCGCTTCAAGTCTCCAATCTATCTCGGAGAGACACCTTCAGGATTTGCCGACGGAAAACCGGCACATTCGCGCTCAACGATGACTGGCTCTATAAGCCGGCTTGTATCTTTATGGGATAGCATGTGGACTAGCGTGATGTCGAATAATCAAGCACTGGGGCCCTGCGCTTGAGTGCAAGAGATAATATTATGACTCTCGGTCGCTGTCGGTGCTTGTCGGTCACAAATCTCCAACTTTCCAAATGCATTCGGAATTTTTCTCTCTCTCTCACTTTTTCCTAGAACAACATCCAATTTACTCAAGGTTGCGCCTACTTATACCTGCTGATCTTATATATCAGGGGAATAGATCGACGCTTTTACGGTGCCCAAGTGGCTATCTGCAGGGCTCCCACAGGGCTGTTTTTTGTTAAACTCCACTTGACTTTACTCTTGTAAAGCTTTATGCGCCTTATTTTTTGATTCAGATTTATTTTATGTTCAATTGGCACGAGTCGATTTTCTTTCCCTTCACATACATCCAATATGCACAAGCAACCTGAGCCAGACGGTATCGTCGCATCCCCGGACAGTGGAGAACATCCGACAATCATAGCGGACAAAAAGTCCGAGGTTGATAATGACATTCACTCCCTATCGGGTGCCTCCAGCAATACCGCCGAGGAAGAAAATGACGACCTGGAGAATCCTCCACGCCTAGAACGCCAATTGACGGAGCTTGGTCCTCCCATCCAAGTCGCCCGATCCAAGCGCAGAGGCTTGTTTGGCCAGTTAGCATTGGTGGCAGAGGTTGAGAATCCGAAGACATACCCTCGCCGAATGAAATGGTTCATCACATTTGTCGTCGCTCTTGCTGGAGCCACAGCACCAATGGGTAGCGCGATATTCCTCCGTGAGTCTTTAATCCCAAATTATGTATTCATCTGATCATCTCTAATCTTCTATCAGCTTCACTATCACAAGTAACCGATGACTTGAATACGACAACCACTATCACTAATCTGTCGATCGCGTTGTATATGCTGGCCATGTCGATATTCCCATTGTGGTGGTCATCATTTAGCGAGCGACTTGGGCGACGGACCGTCTACCTGGCTTCTTTTGCTCTCTTTGTGGTCTTTAATTGCCTCTGCGCCATCTCGGATTCCATCGCGATGCTGGTGGTAATGCGAATGTTGAGTGGTGGCGCCTCTGCTTCTGTCCAGGCGGTTGGTGCTGGCACCATCGCCGATCTCTGGGAACCCAGGGAGCGAGGACGGGCCATGGGTATCTTCTATTTAGGTCCGTTGTGTGGACCTTTGTTTGCACCCATCATCGGCGGTCTCCTAGCTCAGCGCTGGGGATGGCGGAGCACTTTATGGTTCCTTTCAGCATTTGGTGCTATCACTCTCATCTTTATCTTGTTCGCCCTTCCCGAGACGTTGGCCGTGCACAAGCCTGTGCTGGCTGAAATTGAAGAGGAAGATCTACATATCGACCGCCCGCTGAGTCGAGTCTCGTCGCAGCAGATTGTTCGGTCAACCGCAAGGTATCTCAAGACTTTGAAGATGGTCTTCATTGACCCGCTCAAAATCATTCTCTACCTCCGATTCCTCCCCGTACTGCTCAGTGTGTACTATGCTAGCATCGCCTTCGGTTCCCTGTATGTCCTCAATATCAGCGTTGAGCATACCTTCAAAGAGGAGCCATACAACTTCTCCACCATCATCGTTGGTTTGCTATACATTCCGAACTCGCTGGGCTACATGGTGAGCAGTATATTTGGAGGCAAATGGATGGACAGCATCATGCACCGGGAGGCGAGGAAGGCAAATCGATACGACGAGAAAGGTAGACTGGTACTACGACCGGAAGACCGAATGCGTGAGAACGCATGGCTTGGCGCCTTCATGTACCCGGCAGCCCTGATCTGGTATGGCTGGGCCGCGGAGAGGGGAGTCTTCTGGCTTGTCCCGGTATGTCAACTCTTATTTAATCTCAAGGATACGCCAGTAGCACTCGCTAACTATCTGATAGATGATTGCCAACTTCTTCTTTGGTATGGGCTCCATGCTCATTTTCAGCATGGTAACCACCATGCTCACCGAATTCATGCCGAAAAAATCCTCGGAAGGTGTAGCTCTCAACAACTTCATGCGAAACATCTTCTCCTGCGTTGGTTCTGTCGTCACGGCCCCGATCATCGGTGCTATCGGCAATGGCTGGATCTTCACCATCCTCGGCCTCGTCGGTTTCGCAAGCAGCTCTGTCATCTTCCTGATGAGAATCAACGGCCCTAAGTGGAGAAAGACTTTGGATGAACACATGCGGAAATGAGTTGTTTTTGTTTCCTCCTACTTAGGTTGCATTTTATCTCCGGCGTTCAGGCTCATTTTCATGGTATACACGATATATGCCCTACTCTAAAATACCTATAGTATCTAAATCGCTCGTACATCCCGTAGAGAAAACCACTTTGTTATCATCTTTCTATCGGTCTTTTTTGGGGTCTTTCCTAGTCTCTTTTAGAATATAACCGCTAACTATTCCTAAATATTGTAAGTAGGGGACCCTTGATACGAGCTATTTCTAGACCTTTAAGAGACTACATATATACCTTCCGGCGAAAACCCGGTTGGCGCGATGGACCTAAAAACCTGCCGGAGTCGCAAGTAAAAGAGTGTGTTCGTAGACGTTCTCGTGCAATCTATCTCCGGCGTTCATGCTCGTTTTTATGGTATACACAATTTGGCTCGAGAATATCTAGGGACGTTATAAAAACACTCTTGGGAGCTCCCTTTGAATGTTCCCATATTCTTTTGGGTGTTGTAATAACTGAAAGGATGATAATGACCGGCGCCCTTGACAGAAAGAAAAATATATCAATAAATCATGAGAACAAACTCAGGGAGACATTCAATCATCATCTCATAGCAAGGTGCAGACCTCGAACCACATCGACCAGGTATCTACATGCGACTTCCTAGCCTCCTGGGTATCGTCACGAATTTCTCAGGAGATAGGCCTTCAGGCCAAAGATAGCCGCCATCTCGGGTTGGCATGGGGCAGTTTGCCCGGGATGAAGTGGCTCGATGCTTTCAAAGTCTATCACAGACACAGAGGGCTTATTGTCATCCTCGTGGTAAAGCACATCGTGGGGGCCAGGGTCCGCCCAGAGAACTCCCACATCTCGAAGGGCATTGATAGCAGTCAGAACCTGCTGGTAGATGAACTCTTTCCGTTCGGCAGGGGCAGTCGCCCATCTCTTCTTCAACGGCTCTCCCTTCACTTTGGTGAGGACTAATATGTAGCCATATGGGAACAAGGACGAACAGCGGATCACACCGTCTACGCAGCTCGAAGAGAAGAAAGAATACCCCTCAGGGCGCTTCTCCTGGAGATGTTCGTAGGTTATCGAGGACCTCGAAGACTGCGTGGAATTCCGTAACTCAGATAGACTTTGTGACTTCGACCGAGTCTAACACAGCTTTCTCATGGCTATTGCCGAAAAAGTTTGATTGGGTTGTGACGCTAAATCTCTGCGGAGTTATTCCACTACCCGCTGTGGAAGTGTTGGAGGTAGACAGGTGCCAATGTGGCGACTCGCGTACCGACGCCTGGTAGCCCGTACCAATTTGAAGCTGGCAATTTGTTAGTATACGTTCTAAGCGCGTAGATTGCTTTCTGGCGTACCATTTCGGCATTAAAGCCGGGGTATTCGACGTAGTTGGTACCGGTAGCGGCGAGGATAGCGACCGCCATAATGCACTGCCTAACGGATGGCTGGGTTGCAGCTTGGGGTATGGGTTTCGTCATTTGGAATTGGCAATCTTCGACCCTCTTGATGAATACAGTATACGCGTATGTAGATAATACACCATACACGGCTTTGTTATCCCTCTGGTTGACGAGCTAGCCTAAATATATGTTAGTCGTGTGCCTTAGATCAAACATTCAGATGAGTGTTACCGAGATGAGGTCGGAGTGAGCCGATACTGAACACGCCAGTGCCGATTTGGGCTACGTCAAGATGGACAGTCCAGAATGTTTTGAGCTCGGTCGGAATAATGGTTTTTCGCTGTGGGGAGCTATCTTGGAGAGCAGATTTAAGAAGAACGACGTCAGGAATCACGTCGGTCGAAATAACCTCGGCTTGCCGATCTCCGAATTGTAAAGCAAGCCCGGCGGACTTGCACGCTAGAGAGACGGCGTCGCAGACATGCTTGGTGAACCGCCCGGTGAGACCAAGTTCACTTCCGACGACGTACGTGTCACTAGTAACATCGTTGCACGGAACAAGCCCACTGAGGTCAATACTTTGAATTGTGCGAAGAACCTCATCATTGAAGGAGGTCCATTCATGGAATAAACTGGTCGAAATCCATGTCCTAGAGTCTGATGGATTGGTAGTCCCATTCTCTCGAGTGAGCATGGGTAATGGTCGTGCCAGTAAATCACTGGCGGTTTCCATGCTAACATTTTGAGGGGGCTGCGCCATCGTGACGTGCTGCGTTGGGTGAGCCTTCTCGATGAGATTGCTCGACAGTCTTGATGCCTGATTACTTTTCTTAACGAACGTGGAGATTCAGATAAGAGGTTGCGAGACGCCTGATCTCGGCCCGGTTTTTCAAACGTCTGACCGGGTTACGGTCTTTAGTATATGGTGCGGTTTTAATCGGAGGTTGTTGACAAGTTATCGATGTATCAGTCGTTGACAGCCTAGCTTTGAGCTTTTTGAGACTCACCGGGCGTATTTATAACATACTATCGACCGACGAAAGGTATCGGGTAAATGAGAATGAAATATAAATCATTTGATAAGGAGCAAGTGAGAATAGAGTGAATGGCTGGTGATATATCTGCGGTGTTGAGGCTGTTTCTGCCTTAGGTTGATAGGACCTGCTCCCTACCTTGTTTGATACAATACAACCCATATGGTTTCATTTCCCATCAAATATCTCGACCAAAAACCCCAGACTGTTAAAATGTGGTATTCTCACTTCTCCCTTAAGCAATTATATATATACCATCGTGTCTGTGATTCGTTTGCAGATGTGACTTTATATTCTAAGCATCAAACGATGAGGACCTTGCTCTAAGCACAAAAGGTGAGGGCTACGAAATCCGAAGGATTGTGCCGTGTGAGATGAGGTCTTAGGACATTCTAACAGTCAAGACAGCGAGTGATGTGCAGCTTAGACTTCCGCACGACCCAACCTAGTCTAGGTTAGGTTTGACCTTCGACACACTCTCGCCACGCTCGATCAACCACATCATTGACAGGATAAGCCAGATCACTGAGGGTGCGGAGGGTGCGGCTAGCGAAAGTATCATTGCCACAGAGATTGTGGCTAAAGAGCATCATAAGCTCTTCTTCAAGCTCAAAACCTCAGTGAGGAAGTTCCTGGGCAAGGTACGCAACCCAAGACATAGAGTAGAAGGGGTATATAGCTAATTGAATATAGTAACCACACTGGGTCTCATCGAGAAGGCCTTTTGGTCACTCCAAAATGGCCTAGAAGAAACGGCCTCTCCCCCGACGAGCCGGGAAAAGGGACCGCATATCCCGACCCAATATATGGAGCCTTCGGAGACGACAAGGTGCTGGGCTGGTAATAAACCAAAGACAAACGCCACCAACATATCTGGATGATATTGTTGTCTGCTCTAGAAGCTTGACGGAGCATAATGCCAAGGAGTCCTACATATATAAGGACTTAAGCCGTCCACTACAACCAGAAATGACAGAACTGATGCATTCTGATAAGCTCACTGTCGCCCCATGCAGCTTGTAGACCTTCTGTGTGGCATTCCTTTCCCTTTCTTTCTCTTCTCTGACAGACAGCTTATCGGCAAACGCGCAGCCTGCCGCATTAGCGCTTTCCTTTGTGTATCTGCAGAGATGCTTCTTCTGTGTTCTGGTGGATGGAATCTGGCTTGCTTTGTGGTACGAAGCTATATAGACAGGCTTCAGTATAGTAGCTAGTTTCCTGATCTTCTATTAATATCATCTTTTGCCATCTGGTTGATCACTTCTTCCCCTCGTAGTTAGAACCTTTATTAGGTTATGACACCCTTCTTTTTACTATCTATGTAAAACCTCTTCTCTCTGGAGTAACCCTCTACATTTTTTGAAGCCCTTCTTACTTCTTTCTTTTTCTTTTTGTCGTGATATCTCGATATAGCCGCAATAATAATCTAGGGCTAGATCCCTGCCGATTTGTTAGGTACTGGGGCCCCGAATGATAACGACTACTCCTCTATTATTACTTTCCTTGAGGGTGATAAGGGTTATCAAGGAGTCGGACTTCCTATAATCGGTTCTTTTATACTTTTTAAGATTAAACCGGCCCTTAATAATGTGGCCGATTTCGATTAATAGTATGCCTAGGTTGTTAGGACTCTCACTGGATATGACCTTTATCGCTTAGTTAATTTGAAAATCAAGCGTCCCCTACGTAATAATGAATCTGCCCGCTTATGGGTATACCTTAGTAAGCTGGTTAAGGGTTAGCTGGTAAGCTGCATTGACTTAAGCCTAGAGCGGCTGATTATTAGCTGTAGTGAACCCGCCTTCTTTACAGATGAATATATGGATTAGGTACGTAACTATCTAAAAGGCGAAGGGTATAGAGCCCTTAAGGCAGCCTGTCTTGGCCTCTGGTATATGAAGCGAAGTGACTATATAATAATCACGGAGTTTGTTAAAGCACTGAAGGTAAAGCTTTAGTAAGTAACCGAGCTGGGTACACAGATCATACTGTACCACGCTGCAGTCATTCTTTTTTAAGAACTTTCTAATATCCCTGCCCTTACTTCCTATATCGCTGTGATAGAGCGCAATCTGTTAAAGGAAGATTTAGTTGCTACAGAGATAAAGGTGGTCAAGTTCTATAACCTCTATACCGAAGTCCAGCGATATATTATAGGTAAGGAAATCGATAACAATTGTACTAACTTTGTAGGCTTTAGCGCTATAGCCATAAGTAATTCCTCTAAATTAGTGTAAGCGTCCTCGACCTCTAGTTGTATTAGCTCCTCGGCTTACGCCCCGATAGAGAAGCTACCTCCTATAGGGGTGAGTTATACTAACTGGGCTAAATAGTGTTGAGAATAGTAGCCTAGAAAAGTTAACGGTTACTATACCTACTATAGTTGTCCTTGCTACGAAGCTTCCTCCTACTTCCTGGTAAACCCTACCTTGTGCGCTCCTGGTTATAAGTTACGTAGATATATTTGGGGCTAGAAGGGTGGTAACGGAGGCGCTACCTCTGCTAGAAACTCTTCTATAAAGTTAACTAAGTTTAAAACGGATAAGAATAGTTAGGTCACTGGAAAACCTACCGATAAGATACTCTAATCTAACCTCTTAGTAACCGATAGCTCTGGTTTCTACTACTCTAGTATAGGTAGCGACCCCGCTCTGGACCTCTGCGGTTTTTACTTTAACTTGGATAATAACGATTCACTCGATAACGAAATCTATCTTATGGTGGTCTACTCTAGCACGGAGTCAGCCCTAAGTAATGCTTAGATTCTTAACTTAGGAGCTAGTAAGTATATCGTTAGTAAGCGCGATATCTTCGATACTTACTAAGAATATGAGCCGGGAAAAGGTTACTTATGGGATATAAGCAGTAGAGAGAAAGTCTATACAATTAGTCACGGTAAAGTTACCCTTGCTCTTATACCTATCTTAAAGGATATCAGTGAGATCACGATCTACTGTAAGTACCGGTAAGGAAGTAGGTACAATCTTTTCTCCCTTAGGGAGGCAGAAGTTATAGATGGGATTTGGTAGTCGAGTAAGGATAAGATCCTTAGGTCGAGGGATAGCACACCTCTTGGTTTTACTATCGATCTTAAGCATATGCCAATTCTCTAGATAATCAACGTTAAAAATATGGGTTCAATTGCAATCTCGACTGAGCTTACTTACTGCCGGTTAGCTTATATAGGATACAAAAAGCGGCGACTGAATTAATCGAAACTCAGATAAGTCAGTGGTACTAGTGATCCCTTCGACTACGAGGTATATAAGCTTAGAAAATCTTAAAGGATCATTTCCTACTAGTAGCTTTAACACGCTATAAAGGTAGCTTTCCTCCTCCATGTCGACCTTCACAGAATCAAGCCAAAGGGACTAAACCCTAATACTAGAGTAATTGACCAGGAATATATGATATTTTTAACTAACGATGCTACGCGATACCGTTTTAGTATCTACTTAGTAAAGAAAAGTGACGCTTCTCCTGCTCTTATAAAGTAGTATTAAGGTTTTTGTATGGTAGTTGGTTACTAGCCAGTCGCCTAGAGGTTTAATAATCAATTGGACCTCCAAAAAGGGTGAAGATGAAGCCTTGCGAGCTTTTTCGTCCGATATTGTCAGCCAGAAAACAACGAGTTGTTACAACATCAACAACTGAAACTGAATTAGTTGCACTTTCCGAAGCAGCTAAACACCTACTCTGGATGAAACGACTACTAAATTCGATCGAATTTGACGCCAAACACGACCTGATCCTATCATGTGACAACAAACAAACCGTTGATCTGATGACGAAGTCCAATTTGTCATATCAGACGAAACTTCGTCACGTGGATATCAATAAACACTGGTTGCGTGAGAAGGTAAGAAATGGAGATATATATCTCCAATGGATTCCAACCAACAATATGATCGCCGACGGATTGACAAAACACCTTTCGTCGCAAAAACACCTCGAATTCTTGAATCAGCTGAATTTGCGGTAAACAGTTCGAGACGAGGAGAAATGATTATATTGCCTAAAGGCAATCCGACAGCAGGGTGAAGGAAGTGGACTTTAAGCAGAACTTACAGAAGGAGAGGATTGGTTCTAAACTAGTATATGAAAGCAAAATCGCGATATTCTTAGCTACATTCGTCGCCTTGCACCAGAGTTGTAGGGTTATTCATATCGGAAATAAGCCGAGGCGTATCTGACAAGAGTTGGAGCCTATTGGATAAGACTTGAGGCTGACATATGGAAGCCAAGAATGAGTCAGAAGCAATGGGGGAAGTGTATTGAGATGTTGTGTTTAAGCAGATTTTTCATCGCGTGTGAATGCTTCAACCCCATTAACTTTCCGACCAGGCATTCTCGAGTCCTTCAATCACTAGGGGCAATTGATTGCGTACGATAAAGCTAGCGACGTTGCTATTTACTTAGATGTTGCACTTCAATCTCTACTCCGTAATACTGCACGTATTACTCCGTAATTCACCGTGAAAAAGCAAGGCAGCCAATCAGAGCTTCATCATGCCATGGCATTGACTAGCCAGCACTTCTAGCAAACATTCGATGTATCTATCGTGAGGGGAAGCAAAGATCGCCGGTGGGATAAAGGAGTTGAGGGGATTATGTGCTGGAGTTACGCTGTGGAGTCAGAGCTTTTCTACTCCGTAAGCGATATTGGCGGTTGCTTTCCCATGGGCCATTATTGCCGATCGAGCAATTCATCCGATGATGCCGGTAGTCACACCGGTCATTCTCTAGAAGATTCGATGCCGGCAACATCCTTACTAAGCTATACTTCAAACAGCCTGTCTCTCAAATATGCGATATCAAATATCAAATATAGAATATCAGATATCGAATAAGAGTCTATTAACCTCGAGCCCTCTCCGATCGGCATGTTCCTTTCAAGTGCCTGGGTGGCAAAGGAAAGCTTGGCAAAGAAAGCGATGTTTATGCCTATCTACAGAGTCGAAGAGCCCAGGAGCCCAGAACACAAGAATCATGGCCCAATTCTGGGAATAGAAACAAACGACATCATAATCAGATGTGAATCATATTTACAAATGCGAGGGGTTCACCTAGACTGCTATTTGCTAACCACACGCAACACGGCATGGATGCTCGGCCCGCTGCATTGGGTACATAGGTGACCGTATCTGGCGATTTGACTAAGGACTTGTATTAGGAAGTACAGCATAACTATCGGTAATTGCACAAAAAGGATAATCCGCTAGAAAAGACAAAAGTGCCCTGGTCATGCATGCAGCTCTTTTTAGACTCGATAGTTGTTGGCTTTTGTACCTATCTCTTAGGTACGGAGTACCGAGTACCTTCGGTCGAATTGAACACATATGTCATTTTGAAAGAAGAGGACCCCGGTGAAAAGCCGTTGTACTCCGTACAAAGTAAGACGATCTGTCGACCAGGTAGTTAGGCAGTTAGTTGGTTAGTTAACTTGTTGTAGATTGTTAGTCAGACAAAGTTAAAAACCTTGGAAGGGATTGGCGGAAGGGTTGGTTTAGGAGTGGCTGGTATTGACGCGAGGATAGTAATGATCGGCTGGACTGCATCTGCATACTCTGCACTCTTACTCTGTACTCTGTAGTCATAGGTGGAATGGAAATACAGTAGAGACATAGAATTTGACGTCCAAGTCCAATGCGCAATATCACCTGATCCCGAGAAACTCGTGTTCCGCCACTTTTCTCTCTTCCACTTCAAAGATCTGTTGATGCAGTCCACGATGTTTAACTGCATATTACATCGCCATTTCAACTGCTGACTCCCTTACAGTCGAGTGGTACAGAATGATGTCCCCGGAAAAGAGCTCGGACAATACTCTGAAGTGTCGGTGTCGAGAGTGGAGATTCAACTATCCACGAGAGTATCCACGACTCCATTATTAGCCCCGTACAATCTCAATCGCCCCAACACCCCGTTTCGCATCTCCGATTCGAATCTACCAGTCATGCAAAACATGTACTTGAAGTCCCAATATTTGCCCCTAATACCGGATCCTTTTGAAGGTTAATTGCCCTAGTCTCCCCACCCGCGGTGTACATCGTATTTGCCGCGTCTACCGGAACACGTTGGGCAGAAATGGGCCTGGCCTGCATCACCTCTGCGTCGCCCATCGGTTTTCCTACTGAAACATTGCCTTCGTGGCTTTGTGTACATCGGCCAAGTTCCCTCGGCCCAATTCATTTTTATTCCCATCTCAGTGTGTAGTATCCAGGCCCAAAAGCAAACGAAACCAAAACAATTCAAATTCATTTCAAACCAATTCATTCCATGGCGTCCACCCCACTTCAACAGACCCGTTTTCTCCATCCTGCAGTACTGCTTTTCCTACTTTGACCGATCTGCCCCGCGATTTCCAATACCATCTCACCATTTACTCCTTGGTGCTGCAGGTATTTCCGCGGGTGGGGAGCGTACTGCTCTCACCCGGCCCTAATCAAGCACCGGACCTCACTCCTGGAAATGGAGACCCGACGACCAACGTGGCCCAATGACAATTGGCTCTATCGGCCAGTTCATTGGTGACGTTCAGGGCCCAAGACCGTAATGCACTTTGTTGTCGTCCCATCCGACCGCATATGAGACGAACTACTATACGTCGCCTCACCATGACTGTCCAATGCGACCTCTGTGTCACCAGAGAAACAAGCATATCCTTCCTTTCTATTTTAGTACTCTAATACATGGAGTACCCTACCCAGTTTCACTCTCTCAATTGTCCATCCTTTGTACCTTTTGTTCCTCGATTTCCCTTGCCGCCCCATACCTTTCCGTGTGTCGAGCCCGACAAGCCGACTTGTCAATTTCCTATTGTCCCGGTTCTCGTCACATCACGCGCCAGTCAGCCTCGCCTAGGCCTCGATATATGATACGTCATTGACCGGGTATAATGGCACCCAAGAAGAAGAAGACGAAGAACAATAAGAATAATAACAATCGTTCTCCCCTCGGTTCCGCGCCACCCCCTGAACTCGAGAATAAAGACTCTGCCCTGGACCCGGCAGCAGCCGCTGTTGAAGATGGCTTTCAAGTATGCCGAGATCCCTGAGTTCTCATATGCATCGGTTGAACGTCAATATACGACCTTTGACTATGAGACTAATTCTTTCCATTTCTACCCTGTCACCTATTCAACGACCGATCTGACCGAGGGCCAAAACCAGGACAACAAGGAGCCCGAAACCTCCGAACCGGAGAAGGACCCTGCCTCTGAAGATCCCTCCGCTGAGCCAAGTGGAGATGATAGCGCAGCCGCTGAGCCCACAGGTAAGTACAGCCTCAGGTTTCTATAGATGAGGTTCATTTTCTACCTTTTGTACTTGATATTAACTCGCAATTTTCTCAGATTCAGTAGAGGCCGCACCAGCCGAGTCTCAACCCGAATCTGCCCCAGAAGCTAAAGAAGAGGGCAAGGATGAGCCAGCACCGGATGCAGAAAATCCCGACGAGGCTTCTAAGGAAGCTGCCGTAGAAGATGCGACACCCGCAGAGGATGCTAAACCTGCTGACGGTGCAGCGCCCGAAGGCGATAAAAAAGCTGAAGAGGAAGCAAAGCCTGAAGAGGACGCAAAATCCGAAGGAGATGCAAAACCCGAAGGTGGAGAAGATGCTCCAGCAGGCGACGACACGAAAAAGGCAGGCGACAACGGCAACGATGGTCAGTATTCAAATTTACCTTAGTTCTTACAAAGCTGACAGTATGTAGATGAAGATTTCCCAGATCTTGATCTTGATGTAGATCCTGCAACAGTAGCAGCCGAGAAAGAGGCTGCTGCTAAAGCGGCCGCCGAAGACGCTCTAGAGAATGGGGAAGACGCACCAAAGGCCGATGAAACACCTGCAGAGGAGGTTGCCGAAACTCCAGCAAAGTCAAACCCAGAGGCTAAAACGGAAGATCAACCATCAGCGGATGCAACCCCACCCACAGAGGAGCCACCTGCAGAGGAAAAGGCAACGGGTAAGAGTAAGAAAAAGAAGGGCAAGAAGGGGAAGGCCGCTAAGGCAGCTGATCCAGAGCCAACGCCCGAACCCGAACCAGAGGCCGACCCAGCGCCAGAGCCAGAGCCGGAGCCAGTGGCAGATCCAGAGCCAGCGCCCGAACCAGCCGCCGAAAAAGCGCCGGAGCCTGAAGCTGAGCCCGAAAAGCCCGCAGATAATCCTCCTGATACCCCAGCTCCAGAAGAGCCAGCAGCAGCCGAGCCACCCACAGAGGAGCCAGACGCCGAGCCCGAAAAGCCTGCAGATAATCCCCCTGATGCCCCAGCCCCAGTTGAGCCAACGGCAGCCGAGCCATCCGCAGATGAGCCAAAGCTAGAGGAGAAATCAGCGGGTAAGGGCAAGAAAAAGAAGGGCAAGAAGGGCAAGGGTGCTAAGGCAGCTGATCCAGAGCCAACGCCGGAACCCGAACCAGCTGTTGAACCAGCTGTTGAACCAGCGGCAGAGCCAACGCCTGAACCAGAATCAGCCGCCAAGCCAGAGCCAGCGTCAACGCCCGAACCAGCGCCAGAGCCAGCGGCAGAGCCAGACCCGACGCCAGAGCCGACGCCAGAACCAGCCGCCGAAAAAGCGCCGGATCCTGAAGCTGAGCCCGAAAAGCCCGCAGATAATCCTCCTGATGCCCCAGCTCCAGAAGAGCCAGCAGTAGCCGAGCCACCTACAGAGGAGCCACCTGCAGAGGAAAAGGCAACGGGTAAGAGTAAGAAAAAGAAGGGCAAGAAGGGCAAGGTCGCTAAGGCAGCTGATCCAGAGCCAACGCCGGAACCCAAACCAGCTGTCGAACCAGCTGTCGAACCAGCGGCAGAGCCAACGCCTGAGCCAGAATCAGCCGCCGAGCCAGAGTCAGCGGTAGAGCCAACACCGGAGGCTGAATCATCACCTGAAACAACGGAGGCACCAGCAACAGAAGAGGAAAAGGCTCCGGAAGAACCTGTCAAGGAACCACCAGTTGAGAAAACACCTGCTGCCGAACCTGAAGCTGCTGCGGAGGACAAGGTGGAAGCTGTAGAGCCCGAAACAGTCGAGGAAACTCCCAAAAAGGCGCCAGTCGAAGAAAGCACTCCTGCCGAGTCCGCTGCCGAGTCCGCTGCCGAGCCTGTCGCTGAACCTGAAGCTGCTGCTGCTGAACCCGCTCCCGAGCCTGCTGCTGAGCCTGAAGCTCCTGCCGACCCTACTCCCGAACCCGCTGCTGAAGCTGCTGCTGAACCTACCCCCGAGCCTGTTGTTGAAGCTCCTGTTGAGCCCACTCCCGAGCCTGCTGCTGAACCTACCCCCGAGCCTGTTGTTGAAGCTCCTGTTGAGCCCACTCCCGAGCCTGCTGCTGAGCCCACTCCCGAGCCTGCTGCTGAGCCTGCTGCTGAGCCTGCTGCTGAGCCTGAAGCTGAGCCTGAAGCTGAGCCTGAAGCTGAGCCTGAAGCTGCTGCCGCTGAACCTACTCCCGAGCCTGTTGTTGAAGCTCCTGTTGAGCCCACTCCCGAGCCTGCTGCTGAGCCTGAAGCTGCTGCCGCTGAACCCGCTGCTGAACCTACTCCCGGGCCTGCTGCTGAAACTCCTACTGAGCCTGAAGCTACCCCCGAGCCTATTGTTGAAGCTCCTGTTGAGCCCGCTCCCGAGCCTGCTGCTGAAACTCCTGCTGAGCCTGAAGCTCCTGCTGAACCTGAACCCGAGCCTGTTGTTGAAGCCCCTGCTGAGCCCACTGAGCCTGAACCTGCAGCTGCTGAAGAGCCTGCCGCTGAAGTGAAAGAAGTGACCGAAGATGTCCCCGCTGCTGTAGAGGAGACTCCTGTCCCAGAATCAGCAGTTGAGGAGACACCTGCTCCCGCCCCAGTGGAAGAGACACCAGTGGAAGAAGCGTTCGCTGCCGAGACACCTACAGAACCCGTAGCAGAACCGGAAGTCGTACCCGATGAGGCACCAAAGGAGATTCCAGAGGAAGCACCTGCTGACGGGCCAACCCCCGAAGAGCCGGCTCCTGTCGAAGCTGCTCCAGCTGAGATCCCAGCACCTGAGGAACCCCCGGCTGAAACGGTTGTTCCGGACGAGGCCCCAGCTGAGACTCCAACGCCGGAAGAGGCAATGCCCGGGACACCGCTAGAGGAGCCAACCCCTGAGCCAGAGGCTGCCAGAGACCTCCCCGCTGAAGACCCACCAGCAGAACCAGAAGCTGCCCGGGAGCCAGTCACTGTTCCCGATAGCGACGAAGTGGCGCCCGACGAGTTCGTACCACCCCCAGGAGACTCCCAGCCTGAGGTGGAGATGATCGATGCTGAGCCTCTCGATGAAAGCGCAGAAGCCGCAGCAGCCCGCCACAGCCGACGCCGCAGAAAGCGCAGTTCACCGATCGAGGGAGAGCGTCGGCATTCCAAGACATCATCCGACGGCCACCGGGATCAACTCCAGCGCCAGAAGAGCGAACGAGGCATCTTCACCAACCGCTGGGCCAAAGCGCTGGAAGAAGCACGACGCCAACATGATGAGAAATCCCAGTTGCAACGAAAGCAGCGCGCTCTTGCGGAGGAACGAGAGCGCAGCGGCATCCCCGTCCCCGACAAACTGAAGCGCTCGAAGAGCTCATCCAAGGAGAAGGCGAAGGAGCAGGAGAGAACAATGGAACCAGAAATGGAGGCCGAAGTCATCGAGCACAGATCTAAACGCCGCACCTCCGACACTCCCTCGAGCCCTCTCGAACGAGCCCGCTCAACCAGGACTTCTTCACCGAAGCAGGTATCAACATCGCTACCGACGCCCAAGCCCCGTGCCTTCCTGCGATACATGACGGAAGGCAAGTCGGATACCAATGGGCCTTTGCTGCGCCTAAATGCCACCAAGGCTGCACCACCGATTGAAAAATCATCGCCAAGTCATAGCAGTGGCAGCCGTCACGATCGGGCGGAGTATGAGGAGGGACAGTCTGCTGGTCGGTCTAGTGGATCACGGTCACGACGCGAAGAGGAGCATCCTCGCAGTGAGCGTGTTGAGCGCACTGAGAGCAGGAGAGTGCGACACTCGACTGAACACGGTCGAGAGCACGGCCGAGAGCACGGTCGATCTAGGGAAGAGAGGAAAGAAAGAGAGAAGGAGAAAGAGCGAGAAAGGGAGAGAGATCGGGAGAAGCATGAGCGTGCGCATGAGCACGCACGCGAACGGGAAATTGAAGGTGATACGGAGAGGGAGCGGGAGAAGAGGCCTGAGGGCGCCTCCCGGCGTTCCAGGGAGTCAAGAGAGGAACGCTCTCATCGTCGCCACAGGCGCGAGGAATCACCTCCTCGAGAGGAGTCGAGGCTCAAGACTATCTGGAGAACGATTGCTGCCCATTGAGACCATACGGATTTTTTGCACTTTTTCACTTCCAACCTTGTCTTTTACTCTAACGAAACGATCTACATGTGACATTGTATGCTTGCATTGGGGGGCGAATCATTGCAGGAGTACTTGAATTGTTTTTTATTAGCTAAATTTAATTGAATATGCATCACCTTGACAAGGTTTTGAATTTGTGATATCGTCATTTACACATCTCGCATAGCTTATTTAAGGCTATCTCGAGGTCATCGTAGCATCTGTCCAATTTCTGTCCAAGCGACCCCGTGTCATGGGTCATGATATATGTCATTTAATGCAAAGCTGGTACTTCACCAGTGGCATCAGTCGTAATAGAAAAGTCGCCGAAGCATCAAATGCAGCATGCAACATGCAAAGCCCTAAAGCAGACAGCCATAAGTAGCAAAATCAATCAAGTCTGCTCGTTCTTCGCCGGAATTACTCTAGAACACCACCCACACCAACCACGATACAAACCCTTCTCCTCCCTCTCAAGATAATTCCCTGTCTCCCTCTCGTCCTCATACTCAACAACACAAGCACCAACATTGACCCTCTTCTTAGACTTATGCTTAACAACACCACCCAACCCAATGATTTCCTGCCTGCAATATCCGGGCTCCTCATCGTCATGGCTGTCCATCGAGACACCAATTCCCTCATAACCAAACGACGGAGGAGCAGGACTCTGTACAGTACTGCTAGTGTCACTCCCAGACTCAGACCCTTCATCAGCCTCGCAGTCGACCTCAAGCTCAATCTCCTGCGCAGCAAGACAGTTCTCACCACGCCCGCACTTAACACCTTGGCAGCCTTCACCAATGCCAGTACCCAGCCCGCCGCCGAGGTACGTGCTGTAGCGCGTGCGCCACGCCCAGACACGACGGTATGTCGTGTCATTAGTGCGCAATGTCATTCCGCACTGCGTGCACAGCCAGACGGCTTCCTCACAATTACAAGGGTTGCGCGCGAACGCAATGGCCGCGACACTGTTCTCATCCAACGGGTCGGGGGTGTGCGGATTCGAGGTTGTGTGGGAGAGGTGGGCGGAGAGCGGCGCTGTGCCGCAGGTCCGGCAGAGGCGGCGGATACGGTTTTTAAGGGCTGGCTGGGAAGGGGGTTTGATTGTGCAATTCTGCCAGCTGGGTTTAGCGACTGGTCTTTGTTAGGCGGGGGCGGATTTGGCTTACTCTGCATACAACCTTGGCGCAGCGTCGACATTCGCCCACCATGTCGCGCGCGCATTTGCCCACCTTCCCGCGGGTCATACGGATGTGCTCGCCGCCGGGACGGCTCAGTAGTCGTATGACTGATTTGACGCTGTCTGGGAGGACAGAGCCGCTGTCTAGCATCTCTGCTAGGGTTTCGATGTATTCATTGTCGCACCGGAGGGTCTCTCTCGCTAATTGCTGGCGAAACGGTGCCAAGTTCAGATGGAACTGACGACATGTATTCGAGAGGGCGTAGAGGGTATTCAAGTCGATAGCGCGAGCGATTTCCTTGACAATGCTATGGGGCGAACTGTTAGTGGGGTCTGTTTCTTATTATTTGCTGGCTGTTCACAAACAAAGACATACGGATAACAACTCAAAGCCGCGGAGAATCCATTCCGATTGGGGTTTAAGATCTCGTCGGTCTTTTTATTCGGGGAAGTATGCGATGTGGGTAGTTCGGCTGACTCCGTGTTGGGGTCAGCAATCAAAGGGTATGGCTTCTCCAAGAATGCCGATCCGTCAGCGAATGAATCATCGAGGTCGACAAATACCACCATGCTGCTCCATCAGAGGCCTTTCTCAAGATCAGTTTCATCAGATAAGACCAGCGTCATAGGAAATTCAATGGTGGGATGATGGCGGAACGAAGGATTAATTGCCGCTCCGAAGCCGGGGCGGTGAGTTACGTGATCATGTCTGTTTTTGTTTCAGAATTGAGGTCTCTGATGATACAAAGTATGTGGAGAGAACAATGATAGAACAATAGAATGATATGTGTATACCCTTGCTAGCTAACCTCGGCCGAACTACCAGGTATATGTACATAAGCTAAGGCCTTTCCTCATCGGGTAAGAGTACCCTATATATATTGGAAGTGAGTGTTATTTACTCCGTACTTAGGTACGAAGTAGTTAACTAGGTAGTTACGTTACAGAGTAGTTATTTAGTAATTATAAAGTCCAATTTGGAGTCAACAACTTTCCCCAATTCGCAAAACCTCACTGTTCTTATCATTCGCGACAGCCCGGGGGAATTAGTGGGGTTGATAAGCGTCTGATATCCCCTCATATCCCCCGCTCTCCCCCTTCTCCCTGGGGTCATCATCCAAGTTATGCCGCTCAACGCAAAAGCCGTATACTCACGCTCTAGGGCGGACTATGTCCCATTTCCCAGTCGACGGAGCACCGTCCACAGCACCAAGGGCATCGTATCATGCACTCAACCACTAGCCGCGGCTGCAGGCCATAAGATCCTGAGCCAGGGTGGAAATGCAGCGGTATGTACATTTGTTATTCTACGTGTCACAGTCAACTTCAACAATACTGACTTATTCTCTTGTCCAGGATGCTGCTGTTGCCGTGGGTAAGCCTCGCCTCGAGTTGCAGAATCACAACAGGAAACAATAAACTGATCTCATGCTTCAACAGCCGCCGGACTCAACATGACTGAGCCTGGCTCTACCGGTATCGGAGGTGACATGTTCTGTCTCTTCTACAATGCCAAGACGAGGAAGGTGCATGCGCTCAATGGCTCTGGTCGGTATCCTGGTAATGCCAGCTTGGAGAAAGTCCGCAAGGACCTCGGTCTGGCCCCTGGTGAGCCGGGCAACATGCCCATGTTGAATGCTCTATCTGTGACCACGCCTGGAGCGGCTGCGGGATGGGTGGATACAGTTGAGAAGTTTGGTAGTGGTAAGTTATCGCTCGAGCAGATTCTACAGCCTGCTATTGAGCTGGGAGAGGAGGGCTTCCCGGTGTCGGAGCTTTCGTCAAAGGGCGTAAGTATTAACTTCCATTGCAATCACATCATCAACTAACCCCGCGCAGTGGAATGCGTCTGAGAAGGAAATCCGCAATGCATCTCCAAACTTCCGTGAGATGTTGAAAGTCGATCCTTCAGCAAAAGATGGCGTGCGAGCCCCGCTTCCCGGCGAGATCATGAAGAATCCCACTCTAGCCAAGACCTTCCGCGCACTTGCTGCAGATGGTAAGAAAGGATTCTACCAGGGCCGGATCGCGGAAGCCATCGTCAAGGTGGTGCAAGATCTGGGTGGCTACATGTCACTCGAGGATCTAGCCTATCACGCCGAAGTCGGGTCGCAGGAAGTCGATGCGATCTCACTCAAGTTCACCGGCCAGGATATCGTCTCGAAATCAACACCCGGCACAGATGGCGAAGCCAACAAGGGCGTTGAGATCTGGGAACACCCACCGAATGGCCAGGGTATTGTGGCGCTAATGGCACTGGGGATCATGGAGGAACTCGAGAAAGCAGGCAAGATCCCCAAGTTCACTGAGGCCCAGCATAACTCAGCCGAATACCTGCACGCCGTGATTGAGAGTCTGCGCATCGCCTTCGCCGACGCAGCCTGGTGGGTCACAGATCCAGACGCGGAGCGCGTGCCTTCGCAGGGCCTACTCGATCCCGCGTACCTCGCAGAGCGGGCGAAGCTATTCACGCCCGAACACGCAGCGGATATCCTGGACCACGGCAGTCCAGCGCACAACCACTGCGACACGGTGTATTTCGCAGTGACGGACCGCGAAGGCAACGGCATCTCTTTCATCAACAGTAACTATGCCGGGTTCGGAACGGCCATTATCCCTGCTGGCTGTGGCTTCACGCTGCAGAACCGTGGTGCCAATTTCTCGCTGCAGGAAGGCCACCCTAATGTCCTGGCTCCGCGCAAGCGGCCATATCACACTATCATCCCTGCCCTTATCACTAATATCGCCGATGGCTCCTTACATTCCGTTTACGGTGTCATGGGTGGCTTTATGCAGCCACAGGGCCATGTGCAGGTTATGCTCAACATGCTTGCCTTCGGGTATCATCCCCAGGCAGCACTTGATTCCCCGCGCTTCTGTATTGCTGCACCGAACGAGGAGAGTACTGACCGCACGATCTGGGTTGAGGAAGGTATTAGTGATGCTGCTGTGGAGGGACTGCGTCGTCTTGGTCACAAGATTGAGGTTTTGAAAGGTTGGAAGCGGGCTATGTTTGGTCGCGGCCAGATCATCCGCTCATACTATGATGATGGGAAGCTGGTTTATGCTGCGGGCAGTGATCCTCGGGGTGATGGGATGGCGTTCCCTATGCTGTAGGGAATCGTTGAGAATGATGGATCAAATTCATTTGCATACTATACATAGTCAAAGTAATCAGCTATCAAGAAGTCCTGCTTTTCACTTTCTCTTTGTTTCTGTTCCTCGGAACGTCCTCATAGGACTACACCAATGAATATGCAGCCTTCTGTCTACTTTCAGATGCGCTCAGATAAAGATGACTTTATTCCAATACAAGCAACCTACAACACTGGTCAAACCCCTGTTTCTGACACACAACTATAAGCCCGATGCAATCTTTGTCCCTACAGTCCAAGTAGCCAACAACTGCGTCAGCATACAGCAATCCAGCACAAGACCACTTCACACTCCACATGTCATGCCCAATCCAAGAATCCAAGAATCCAAACAAAGAGCAAACCCACACCACCACTCAAGCAGGCAGGTCTGAACGAAAGCCCCGGCCTTGAAAAGCCGCGTGACACCCACGAGAACCCCTGATCGACACGCCAGCCTAACATGCCCCACAGCCGAGTCGAGAGCTCTAGTTACTCTACTCCGTTATCCGGAGTACCTACGGAGCGGAGAGTACTGTACTCCGTACGAAGCACGCACTCACTCACTTACTCACTCCATCGGGGAAAAAAGTACATGAAGAATGTATACAACATGACAAGAGACAATAGATACAAGACCAATCAATACTAAGATAGTCTAGTCTATATAAGTACTCCGTACTCCGTAGTTATAAATCAATCGAAAACCAACCCTCAACCCCCCACCTCAAGACCATCCAGATCTCACCCAAAACCCACAATACATAGTTAACTAACTAACTCTCAAGATAAAAAAGATTACAAATACTATAAGCGGCCACCCCCCGCCCATCCAAATAACGATATTCCCCCCTCAACCCAGAATAAGTCTAGCGGGAAGAGGTCCGTATACCACATTGAGAATAGGCTGGGTATTGCGGGTATTGCGGGACTAAAGGTGGATCTAGCCAAGTCTTTCGTCCGAAGGGTAAGCCACAATTCGTTGTAAGGTAGGGCCCAAGGCCACCCGGAGATAGATACGCTGTCCAACTTACGGCCGAGAGGGAATTTGAGTGGTTGAAAGCTCCGAGTCTTTCAGGTTGCCTTGCCCCAGGTGAAGGAAGGAAGGAAGGGAGGGTCGCTTTGTTCCGGCTCCGCCTTACATAAGCAGAGTTTATCCCGACGAATTGATTCTATAGAAGATATTTCCGCTCCGATCGGAGATCGCTTATCTCGCTTGCGTTTTACGGGTTTGTGACGGCCGGCCGAACCATGGGTGGTTGTTTAATAGAGTTGAACTTTATATTGGGGTTATTATTTTGTTGAATTTGAGCTTTACTTTAGAGATGTCGGGGTATGGGTTCAGCTTGGAACGAGTTTTGAGGTACATTGAATGGCCTGTAGGGGTATAATGGTGTAGTAGGTAGACAAATGAGAAAAGAAAAAAAAGCAATCATGATCATGTCGTCGGAAATCTCACATAAGGAAAACGTTAAACAAAGAAGAGAAAAAAACTTCCAGTCTAATGCCCAGTTTGTCTCTGGACGCCAGACTAAAGAATTAACCAGCCGATATCGGCAAATCGCTTATCTTCTTTGGGCTTTTTATTTTGTGGCCGCGTGGTGTAAGCGGCGGTGACCGACGGACCCGAAGTCCAGGCGATCCTCCAGGCGGTCACACTCCGGGCAACAATGGAGTCAGTGGAGAGCGCTGCTAATGACGGTTGAGCCATTTGTAGGGAGTCGAGACCACACCGGGCCTCCCGTTCCTTGGACCCACACCTGTTGTCTTTGTCATGGAGTTCAAGGTTTTCTAGGGCTGGATCATGCCGGTTTCGTATGAGGGGAAATGTGTTGGTCGTGTAGTCATAAGATATTCAGCCATCTATAGTCAATGTTTGAGCAAGAGCTTCGATCTTTTCACATGGCCCAGCTCACCGGCTGGAACTGGTGCATGGAATGGACCTGGTCATCGTAGGGAAGGCAGTCTGCGCTGGACCACGAAGGAGAGGGATAGTGGCACTGAACAGGCTGGATCATATTCTCCCCCATGGACATGGGAACTAGATCCGACGGAGGCATGCCGGCCTCAGTACTCCAACGGAGCGGAGTGTGCATCTGAAGCGGGGACGAAGTGAGCTCGCTCTTCACGATATTGCTTGGGTACTGGTCGATGACAGACCCAGCGGAAGAGATGGAGGAGCTCGAGTATGGAGGAAGAGAAAAAGTCGCATCCGACAGAGGCGAGGGGCAGGTCTCTGCGGGGGAAGAATAGAACGGGCTGTCGTCGACAGACTCGGGCAGCTGGCTGTGGAAAGCCGGGCGGGGCTGTAGGGGCAATTCGATGCCGCTCCACAGTAATGAGCAGTCGTTGTTGGCAAGATCCGGATGAATGCCAGGAGCCACGAGTGCGCCGATGGACATGGAGTGTGAATGGGAGGTTGCAGCCAATGGGATTCCGTGGTCCATTGACATACAGGGCGAGACAGGGGACTCGGTAATGGGGTTGGGTGCCAATGAGGACTTTTCTGATTTGGATTCGAGTTCACTGCCAGAATTGTTAGTATGCGCCGTGTAGCCAATTCCCAAGGTACTCACTGTCTCTCCAAGTGGCGCACAAGTAGATCAGCGCGGTGAAATGCCTTGTTGCATCCTTCTGTTGCGCAGCGGTACGATGCCTCGGGATTGTGGTTCAACTCATGGCGTCTTCGGTGCTCCGCCCTGGTGAAGACCTGCAATGGAGTCAGTTTGATGTTTGATGAGTGAAGGTGTTTGTGCTGACCTTTCCGCATGCTGGGTATTGGCAGGCATGTACACGTTTTCCCTTCTTGGCCTTGCTGATGCGATGGGTGGTTGGTGTATAGGTTACAGGAAGAGTCGCATCTGCCAAGTTTGGACGAATGTTCTTCTTCCGGCGCACCATGTTGGAAGCCGCTAGTTGACGGGGCTCCGATGAATAGGAGGAAACGGCAGGCGAGTTCAAGACAGAGACGATGTGCTTTGGACTGATGCGCCCTGTAGATTTCCGAGCCATGATGTGTAGAGAATAGAATGTAAGTGGAGTGGGTAAGTATGAAGGTGGAATGATAGGATAGATATGAGGCTGGTATGAATGAGATGTAAGACGCAGAGAATATTGAAAGAAGAGAAGAGACGAGGAAGAGAAGAGAGTGGACTGATATACACTGTTCCTACGATCTACGAGGATTAATAAACTTTGAGCGAATTGGAAATTAATATCAAAAATAAAAATAAAACAATAAAACAATAAAAACAATTAATCGCAATATCCAAGCTAATAATAATTCCAACCAAAATAAATCCAACATAAGAACTAAGGCGGACTAAGGCGAACTAAGGCAACTAAGGCTAACTGAGATTAGATCCAGGGAAACAGCACGGGCGTGGAGGCGATGATCGCTCTGCGGGATGATCGGAGCATAAGCGTACTAAATTTACACGGCATTGCATAAGAACATGAGTGCGGCTGAGGCTTTGCAACCGCCCTTGTATAATAAGAAATTTGGAATATGGCTGTGCTGTTATGCGCAATTTGGCTACCGTCAATAGGATTACCGTGAATTAGCGTTTAGTATTTAGCTATTAATCAAAGTATATACGGAGTACTCCGTACTCCATTCATGAATAGCTAGAATAAGCTCAATGATTTCAAATCATCCCAGGTATCAAAGCCGCTAAAATGGCTCTGATATTCCAAATTCTGTAAACGTGGAGGACACGAGGCTGTGAGTCCAAGCTTCCACGGAATGTAACGGGTTTGCTCCATCAAAGCTAAGGGACATAAATATCAGTGGGGCAACTCGCAGACCCAGAATTCGCGCTATTCCGAATAGAGGCTCGGGACAGGGCTGGATCGATATCGACTGGACTAGCGGAGGATATTCTGAATTAGGAATACAGTCCAATTATAGAAAATAAGCACTTTGATACTCTTAATCTTTTGTCGCTTCACGATATATAGCGAAGAGATACTTTTCAAATGTCAGATACATATGACCTCAACGAGAACGGGAGCGGTGGATCCATGGATTCGACCAAAGCCTCAACCAAACTTGAGGTCGATTGAACCGAACTAGACCGGATCCACTAGACCAAAAAGGGAAAGGGCAAAAGGAAAAAAAAAAGAAAAAAGAAAAAAAGAAAAAAGAAAAGAGGACCCTGCGGACCTTGGCCGGGTCTTGGCATTTGGTCGTTTCCAAGGTTTGCGCTTTTGTTTCAGCGCGCCGATCCTTGACTCTTGGGGGAGGGGACGGATACCTTAGAACTCCGGGCTCCGGGCTCCGATCTCAAAACGTCAGGGTTCGTGGGGAACTATTTGCTACTTCCTATATTGTCAAGGTAGTATTGATTTACATCCTACGAAGTATAAGCATATGAATCCTCATACACACCATCTTCGTCCCGGGGACCCAACACCGGGACTAAGTTACCCTGCACGCCACCGCATGCAGGACCGGAGAATAGGTCCCCTGTCACCCTCGTGGCAGGGCAAGCATCAGGAACTTAATACGCTATCTATAGCAAATTTAAATTCTTAATATACATCAAAACACTCTAACTATATCCCTGCTTCCCTAAATTTCTAAGATCCTTTCCGCCAAGCACATCCCTAAAAACAAGGAACAATAGACTAAAATAACAAGCGGGAGCGCACATTATGCAGGAATCCTCGAAGGATCATTCCAGGCTAGAATACGTCCCGTGCTGACGCCCGTCACTACCACCATCGACCTATGTTGTACGGACCGATCAGACAGATCACGGGCACTAGGTAGCTGTGGAGAGAAAGATAGAAGTTCTTCTCGCACGATCCACCGTACGTTGTTGCAGATCATGGATTATCAGGATCCACGATGAGAATCATGATCGCAAGGCAGTTTTACAGTTTTACAGGGATCTTGAAACGAGTTCCGAAACTGGATATACTAGACGGACCCAAACCAGAACGAGGCACAGATGCAGCATGCGGGAAGTATACCACAGCCTCTCTTTTATTTTTTTTCCCAGGTTCCAAGTTTAGACACGCATGATGCATCCCCTCTACTTCGTGCCCTATACTCGCCAGCCAAGAGTGGGTCTTGGCCATGTTTGGTCGGCTGCTGCGGCTAGGGCCAGAAAGCGGGCTTAGCCTGGGGTTTTGTGTAATTGAACTTTTATTTTCTTTTTCCTTTTTTACGCCCTAGCGATCGTCGTTATTTATTTGCGCTCACAGCCTTGTTGTGCATAATCTTGATCTAAGCCGCTTCTGGTATAGAGGGACCCGGTATTAATATGGAAGTGTACGATTATGGACCAATCGGTCTTTTTGAGAGGGAATTAATTCAATGCCTGAGATCTGTTTCGCGCTATTTTCCGCTGTGCTTGTAATTTCCGTGTAGCTCGTGGCTGTTAGCGTCTGTGTAGATCATGGAGGCTTCAAATCTTAGGGTGATGTCGCCAACTCACCTTTTTATTTATTTAAAAATCCAACAGCGCTTATGATTCCGTAGCGCTGTTGGGATCGTCGGCCATTGTCGTTGAGATGATGTCGACAGCCACATTTGAGGGATTTAGATAATATGGGGTGGGATGATGCTGCATTGATAGAGCTGCCAGTCTTCGGAAGATCTAGGTATCTAAAATCTATAAAAAGCCTTTTTCTCTTCAAGATGAAGATTACTCTGAATAAGCCTCGTGCTTACAATAGTAACGGCTGCCATGCAGAACACGAAGAAAGGCATGCAACATACAACTGACTATGTAACTATACTTTGTGAAACGAGCCAGTCAGAGAGGTCGGTTTGATGTTGGTTCTTTTTTTAGATGCTGACTCCGTCCACGCGGGACATACTACGCCAGGCCATGCACGCTAGGCTACGGAGTACCTTTTCATACTTCGTATTCTTATACTACTATTGTGGTAGAGATATAAACACAGCCACTTTATAACTATGTATGGAGTGCATAGTTATACGTATTACGCCCTCCCTCATTCGTTCCTGATCGACAAAATAGCACCCCAAACTAATTTGCGGGTACGAAGTATGGAGTAGCAATTCACACTATGGCACAACTCGAAGTAAATTAGATTAAATTAGAGTATCCGCACCGCAACGTGCGCCCATGTTCAGAGTCTTTGAATCGATATGGGCGCACCCGAGTTAGAGTACGTCCATTGAAAAGTTAATATTTCATTTGGACGACTTCGATCTGGACAGAAGGGAGAAGAAAAATTACCGATTTGGATTTAGGATATATAACATATGTTGTATAACAGCGTGTATGCGTCCCCACTTGGCCCCCTCAAGCTTTAGAGGCTCTTTAATTTCAATCAGCTCACTTTGGCCAAGAGGTGGCCCTTCCGGGACCGAGAGTAGCATGTTAATCGGTGAATCTGAAGCTCCCCTTTTAACCTCCCGTAATGGTGGATCGCACGATTTCAGGATGGTTAAGCATTGAAGGAGCGAAGTGGCAATGTTACGGATAAGGCTTGTATAATGATATAAGAGGGACGTGCTAACTAACTAGTTAGTTATGTACATCATAGGCATCATGGATTATTCCATGGAAGACGAATCTCACCTCAGATCTAGGGTATTTTTCTGATTGGTGGAAGTGCTATTATTTCTGATTCGTTTGATCGGACCGCTCCGAGTCTTGGCGGTCCCTAGAAACGCTCTCTACCTATATTGTAACTTGGATTAATAAATAACTCGCAATTGTTACTGAAGCGAGAAAGTGGCCCTGTAACTCGGGTGCGTCGGGTTCGAATCAGCGCAGGACATTCGATTCTATACTCCGTCTCCGTCCTCCGTCCTCCGTCCTCCGTCCTCCTGTTCCGGGATAAATAGCCGAAGTTACTGGTTACCGTCGGAATTACTCCGTACGGCTATTCCCGATGTCCCGGTTGAACTACCTGGAGCTTCCTCGCTCGGGATTGGCCGAAAGAGATAGGAGACATCGGCTATACCCGAGCTTTCCTCTTAGAGTTATGTAGCAAAGTTATCCCTTCAAACTCCGTAGATTCCGATTACTGCTAGGGTCTGGTGATTGACTGCGCCCACGTGGAAAAGGCACTAACTGCTAGAATTATTGTAAGCGCGGGTGTGCATTATGTGAATCCGGTTAGGTCAGGTCCACTCGGCTATACGATTACCCCCACTAGCATCTCCATTATCCCTATGATCTCGATCTTCTGTTGTTGTTTATGCTGGTGAATCGAGTTTTCTCTCTGTCGGGTGCTGGTCAATAGCTCCACAATAATGACCGCGATTATCGTACGGATGCAGCGGGTCTCAATATGGACATAGTAGGCCAGAAGTCGAAAAGTGTGATCGATCTGCACGGTCCAGTCCTGAGCAGATCGTCGCTATCTATCAATGTTTTTTGCTCCATCGTCACTGGCGATCGTTAGTACTGAGGCATTTTGTCTTCCAAGCGGGTTCCCCTGTCTTTGGCTAAAGCGAACCATACCGCATACAGCACACTTGCAAGGATTATTCAGGGATTAACCGAAGATATGACGAGAACATGACTCGTCACCTGCACACTCGACAATCCCCTTATTCATGTCCCGAGATCTGCCACACCTAGTGTTGTTGCCAGGGTGCTATAGTTACTGACATTCTATACATCGTCATCAAGGAATCTACGTAGATTTCCTGTTCCTGGGGTATTTCCCCACACGGGCTCAGATCGAAGCAATTCTCTAACATACTAAAAAAAGCAAGAGCGTCGAGTCTGGACTCTAAGTGGAGCAACGGTTTACCGAAGTCGGATGAATTAGAATAAATACTCATTTTCTCCTTTGATAGGATCTTCGGCATAGCAAAGTTGCTCTTTCGACATTTACACCTTTGCACGACTACGCTAATGGCATGCCCCTGCAGGTCCTGGGCCATTTCGATCCCGTTTCAGATAGACCCGTCGATCAGACCATGCCATGTGGCCATGCTTGCGAGGCAGATTTCGAGTTTCGAGTGCCTGACCACCAATGCCTATATCTGGTAATGATCGTTCTTTTTTGGGCTATTTAATATAATATTGTCATAGCACTGCCATTATGATCCCTATGCATACATCATAGCATGCAAGTGGAATCTCTCGGGAATTTATGCATAGCGATATGAGTTTATTTCAATAATTTATTCGTTTTACTCTTCCTTTTAAAAAAAGAAAACGATCTCTTTTGATTCGAGCAAATCACAGATAAAATGCATAGTACTTTGTACTCAGTACCCGTACGGCCGAGCCGTAGCCCATATGGCTGGAAAAGGAAAAGAAATGCGAGCTAATTTAGGGCACGTAACCATGCAGGCACTACTGCAGCACTACTGCAGCGTGTGCATGAGATGATAACCACTAGCTACTTCCAGATAATTTGTACTAACTGTTAACTAAAACAGGAATAGGCGACTCTGTCTGTTTCATCTGCGTTCCCGTTACCGTGTCCGTGGACAAATATGCCAGTGGTTAGAGAAAGTGCTCGTGCGTATATTTTGTATAACATATTTTCTTATTTATAACCATTAACTAACTACTACTATCACACGCCGTACAGAGTATAGGATATATCGGCTCAGAGATGGTTAAATCATCCGTCAATATCCTAGCGAATTAACGCAAAATACTACCGTACTTTTGTAATCTAGTAATATGTCGGTACTTTCATCTCCCAGTTATGGAGTAGTAACTGTAATTGCTATGTTGTAGATAGATAGATAGAAAATGTAACTCTAAGCCGAAACCAGACGCCGACCTGCACAACAAAGGGGTTTGAACGAGCTAACCCTGAAAACAAGACCTTGAGATGCATTTACAAATTACCTACTCCGACACTGCAGTGCTTAGTATGGGTCAAATAGATCTACAATATATATTGTCCATCGTCGATTCTCCCGATTACCCCTTTTCTCATTTCCCTATACGGTTCTTTCGCTATACTCCGTACGGAGAGTCACAATTTCCGATATGCGAACGGGGCTGATTCCCGCTCTCTTCCGTCGATACCACATGGCCAAAAAACTGTGGGCCTTTGCAGATCAGTCAACGGGTGTCGGTGTCGCTGAGTGGGTAGTTTGGCTTGCTTAGGTAGGTTGCTTAGAGAGCATCACACTAAGCGCAATACTATACCGTTTTAGTTAGTCTTTCCAAAGTACCTAGACTAGCAATTAGCACGGCTTCTAGGATACCACCTCACAAAGCTAATTAGGAAACAATACACCGTCTTTTTATAGTTCGCGGAGGAATTGCTATTCTGGAACTACTAACAACCAACAACAACCTTAGCCAATCGGGGTCGTATTACCCTGTCTAGATGCGCTCGAGTCCAGCTTTGCATAGCCATTGGCACTACCTGCATGACATCATGCACACCCGGTGTTCTGGGCGCCAGCGTGCATCTGCTAGTCATGCTTGGTGACGCTGTTGGTTTTGCTGCACTTTCTATTGGTTAATTGTCCTGCAGTCTGGGGATGACTGTATGTTGTATAATAATTGTCCGATTGGAGCGGGCTGGAATAGGAATAGTTAGCGTGTTATCGTTGCCCTCTATGTTGCATGGAGTAGACCTTTTTAAGATGCGGTATAAGGTGTATATTTATAGTTCATATTGATCTGCGCCTGTTTGAGTCTGTATCATCACGGGCACGTCCGCAATCTACTTCGGAATCCCCGCATATGTAGACATTATATCTGTCATCGGTTATGAGCAGAAATATGTAACCATGTACGGAGTGCTGTACCGAGCAGGGAAGTTGGCAAAGAGCAGTGGCAATCCTAGGCTTTGATGCATGTCAACTAGATCCAAAGCAGCTCGTTCGAATAGTGTCCTACTATAGTCAGCCTAGTCTACGTCCAAGGTCTTCAGCGGCTAATCTCCAGCCCCAACGGAAAATACTCCATCCTTCGTTGGGCAAGGCCTAACTCACGAACACACCTGATTTATCAGCTGTAACTGTCTACGAACGAGACCAACATGACTGGAATCCTTCGATCTCTTTTCTCTCTCCTGCATATCTAGTTCGTCGCTAGATTAGCGTCGCATGAAGCCATGTGGCTGTCAAGTCCGGTCAAGTCCATCTAGCCGCTGTTGGGTCTGGCGTTGACAGATTTGGACCGTGGATCTCGACGAGTATGTTGGGGGCGAGGCTGTGCGGGTATGGACTAGGCAGTTGGCTATTGTTGGGGCTAGCCAGCTGGCAGTTATAGCCCATGTGGCTTGAGGTCTGTGTGTATCTCTTTCCTGATATCATGGGAAAGTGAGAATGGTATGTAGGCATTAGTGCAAGGTAGTTGGAGGGTTTCCTCTTGTCTGAGCTTGATGGTTTGGTCCAAAGACAGACCGAACTGGACTGTTCTATGCTCAAGCATTTCTAGGCAAGAGCGATGGCCGAATAACCTCATTTAGGATGGAAGGAAAAGGAAGGAGCGTTTCTTTCTCGTTTGCTCCTTCCAAGAAAACATCAAAGGAATATCAGACTCATTTAATGTGCTTGCTTTGTTTATCTTTCAAGGTTTGTTTACCTCGAGACTGATCTTTTCATTCTTTTACTTTCCTGTCTTCTCTTCTTCACCTTTGCATCCTGCTTCAATATATTCTTTCTCCATTAAACACATTTCTTCATCATGCCTCCGAAAACGCCTGCTGAAACACTTGCGAGTCTAGGCTTTGACCCGCAACTTCTCGAATACCCTTTTCCCGCAGAGACAGGGTGGTGCATCCACTGCTTCAGGGTATCACTGCGTGCCTGGGACGAGACAAAGTGGGGGCAACCCTTCAAGGTGAACTGCATTCGGGATCCAGTCACCTTGAAGCGTTGCCAGAGATGCTGCCATGCCCGCGACAGGTGTGAACTTGTGGGTATTCCTTGAAGTTTGTTGTCATTCAGTCGTGTATGTACTCATCTATAATACACCTTTCTAGCTATACGAAGGCATCCGGGGCCACGGGTTCGAACTTCAGGCATTGCTGGAATGGATCCAGGAGATCTGGATCAACGAGGAATCCGGGATTGGCGAAGGCGAGGATGTGAGCCTGGTGCACGACATCGAGATTGTCAACGCCGTTGCAGGGGCGGTTCGAGACCTCTGCTCGGCTCTCGATTGTCTGATCAAATCCCACGGCAAGGCCCACAGCCTCGCGGGCCGGCATGGTGGAGATGCCGTAAGTTTCATCGCTCTTTTCGTACAATATCCACTGACATTTCGAGGGGTTTAGGCAGATATGGCGGCATACGCTCAGTATTGCGCCCACCAGCATGCCTCCTTCCAGGCTCCGCCTTCGCTTGGTCTCCGGAGCGATGGCACTCCGCACCCGAAGCTCGTCCAATTCGAGCATGCGGCTCGCCAGTACCTCCGTCTCGAGACCCAGTTTGCCCTACCTTGGTACATCGAGGTCCTCGCGCTCAAGCAAACCATCGAGGCGCTGATTCGGGAGAAGTATGACCACAGCGATCCCAACATCGCTCGCTGGTATAAGGACATGATGGCAGCATTTCCTTTGGCTATTCCTCTGCTGTAAGTAAGGGTGTAGTTTGTTGTCTCGATATCTTCTCATATTCTCTTCATTCTCTCTTCAGGTGATCTTCGTGATCCGTTGCCTCCGTTGAGGCTTTCTATGATGGTTTGTGATGTGCGGGGGTGCATGCATTTTGGGGGATCTATTTGATATTGAGCTCCCATACTGAATAAACTTGGAGTTTCTGCCTCGGTTTCTTGTAGGGAGTAATAGCTTCTCCTTATTCATTTCCTCTTTGTTTATATGAGAATCTAAGTTTAAAGTGAGGCGCGTGACTTAATCCAAGGTTGACTGTAATAAACCTCCCGGACTGAAGGTGATGTCACAATATATAGTTGGCCTAGACCTGACTATATCGATTTACGAACTAGGATGAAGGTCCATAGAAAGTAAAAGATGACCAATGCAAATATTCTGGTTGAATAGACACTACTCCGTAAAGCACTCAGATATATCTAAGATATATAGACTGACGGCAAACCCAGCTTCGACTAATTGAATCCACTTTAGTTCTAATTTACAAGCAAATGACCATAGACTGATGTGCATATCGATTCTCACATTAAGTACAGCTGAATGGTCTCGCCTATCTACAGCCACCTATCCTTGAATCAGATCAGACCGGAGCGAATTGCGGAACGCGAGAAGCTCATTATAGGACCGACGGGCAAAGATCTGACTGGAAATAGGAAAAGAGACCACATGGGAAAAAAAAAGTAAAAAAGAGTCACATAAAGGAATGGTTTGCTCATAAAAAGAAAAAAAAATGTCGAGCATTGATGAAGTTGAAATAAAAAGAAACGCCTTTTCGAACTCGTCTCTATATCAGAGACTTCACCGTGATTGAACAAGATACAATGACCGGGTCTTCGGCAGAGAACGTTCGGATATCATAACTCTGCTGAATAACCCGACAAAAAAACAATGACAACAGGATAAGAAGCTCTCATAAAGTAGTGCGATCGAGACAGAAATGACGTTGGGTTTCGCTAATACCAAGTAGAAAGAATAAAGGGGGGAGCATGAATGGTTCGGAAATGGGTATTGGTTTAACGATCAGGGTTTGTCACCTGTGACACAAGTCAGCTTCGAAACAATGCTATTAGGCGTTGTACGTGTGTACCTGCAAGATCCGGCGAGAGAAGTCATGGTCATCATCGATGCTGCCATTGCTTTGGCGGCGCTGAGCCATGTAGTCGCCATCGAAGCGAGAATCGGACATCGAGGGCGGGCCAGAGTCACGGCCATAGCCGCCAGTGACCCCACCCACAGCACCGACCCTGTTCTTCTTGGATCGCCACCAGAAGAAGACAGCACCGCAGAGAGCAGCGAATCCGATCACTCCGATTACGACTCCGGCCGCAATCGCGGCAGTATTCTTGCCCTTGGAGGACTGTTCATTGATATCCTCTTCAGAGAGACCGCTCGTGGTAGGCTCAGATGTGGCGGTTTCTGTAACTTCACTAATACTACTACTAGTAGTGGAAGCAGTTGAGGTAGACCCATCGGTTTGCGTCGTAGTTTTGCTGCTGGTACTGCTCGAGCTCGTGCTTGATGTGGTGGTGGTGGACCCGGGTTCAGAGTATGTGGGAACGTCGTCTTCCAAATTGGTGGTATAGACAGAGTAGTAGCCGGTACCACCACCTATAGAATTTCGTTAGCAAGTCAATTCTTTGAGACCGATGAAGGAGGGGCATAGACATACACATATCATCGGGCCAGCCACTGCAGGATTTGTTGCATTTGTCGCTTGAAACTTTGGCACTGTCTGGTGGCATCGTATTACCACACACACAGTCAGAGCCTCCTGTCAAAGCGAATGTCGCGTAGTCTTTGGCGCAGTGGTCCAGACACCATCCGGAACTCTGGTATGTCCAGCCTGTTGACTTTCCATATCCAGGAATGCTAGAGTAACAACCCTGAAGTGTCCCTAACGGCGCACGACGGACCACCTTGAAGTCTTCTGGAACTGCCGCGGCGACTGCCATTACCACACCGGACACCACGAGGGCGCCATGAGTGTTGAAAAGCATGATGTGTGGGGAGAGTAGTGAATTCGAGTATCGAAATCAACGAAGAGAATAAGCACCGCTGGACACAGTCGCAGGGGTGATTGATGAAGGACTGGGAACGGCCTGCGTAACCCTCAAGAACTTCTGTTTGAATGTATGCCGGTAGACGTCGTTTGTTTTCAAAGTGTCCACCACGTTGGGTCTGAATTATTCGGTCAGATCCTTAGGGCGTATGGTCGAAAGTCGAAGTTTGACGGTCGGAAAAAGAGTGAAACGAAGGTGATTTCGCGTTGTGTTGATTGGTACCTGGAGTACGTTGTCGAGTAGAGGATCACCCCCTACAAGTCGGGAGAGAGTGAGCGACCGTGAAGTAAAAAGCAGTTCAGTTGATAACCCCCGAATAAAGGGAGTAAACGAGCGAAGAAATCGAGTAACGAATGTGTGCAAAGGGGAGGAAGATCAGGAGGGCGAAGTGACGGATAATGGATCCCTTGAGAAAGGGACTGTTAAGGGGTCTGTGTTCCCCGGAGGAGTGACATTATGTACCAGGTACTTGGAACATAGTAGGCTAACCCTAGTGTACCCGAGTACCGAATACTTTCAGCCCACCTGTTTCGCGGGTCGTTTCAAGGTTGTTTGCTCCTTGTATGGTACAATACCAGGTACAATGTAGACAAACAAACAATCCCACCAATGAGACGTCGATATATATTTAGGTAATCAGGCACCTGCCCCGGCAAGCCAGGGGACTGTGGTTGATCACTTTCCTATTTGGGTCAGACACGGGAGCTGGATGGAGTCCTTGGACATGCCGCTAGTCTTCTTTGGGTGCCAAGCGGTGATTATGAGACCATCATTGTGTGAACCTCGACGGATATTCAATATTATGTATGTACATACAGAGTAGATACGGTATTTCTCCGTACTTTACAGAGTTACCTGCATCCTTCGCCACATGAAGAAGACCCTTGATGACGACGGAGTGTTCTACCCCTCAAAATTGTACAACGCACTCGGCTAACGATGCTTTTGTTCCGTCTCTGTTGTGTTTTCCCATATAAATGACCGGTTACCATACGCCACGGTCCTTTGTGGCTGACAATTGTATCCTTGGCTGGTGTCGAGGGTAAATTTAGATCTCCATTTGATAGATTGCAGAGTTTGCTGTTGAAAGAGATTTCAGGGCTCATTTCCCAGGCGGAGCTAATTTAAATACTCCGTACAAGGGATAATAACCTTCGTTACTCCGTACTCCGTACTCCATACAACATGAAACATGAAGGATTTAGCAATTGGAATTTAGCCTTATACTTCATGTAGTCGCAAGAAATCCGTACTCAATCTATCTCTTCTATATCCCTGTTCATGCCCCTTTTTCCACGTATCCAAATAGTTTCCATGGGTAATGCGCGGCCACTCCCGGGTGGAGTATACCAAATTATGATCTGTCCCTACGGTAATACGCCGTACCGTTCCTGTATCAAAAAACCGCATAATTTGACTCGTAAAATAGGGCTGCGGCTCAAGATCTGCCTTTGTATGATGGTCTATAAATGGCACGTATTAGGGTTAGGTTCGATCTTGAACTTTTATGTTGTATGTTGTATGATATGTTGTATTTCTCGAGGCTTATTTGCTTCAAGTATTCTGTTCCTGACTTGACTGCATAGCATACCTACTACACCGTACATATTCTCATAACAAACCCTGAGATACCGGAGGTTATTAACCCAACCACATTACCATCATGCGAGAATTATACAAGCCCTTTACTGAACAGAGAGATAAAGTTACTAGTGGCCAAATGCGCTCTAGATCGAGTGTGTGTAATATATCGGCTGTACCTCGCAGATCTAGTCCCTTGCACCCTATTCTGAGTCAGAGATTCTATTATTATTGCAACTGCCAGATAACCTCGTGATCTATGTGGGAATCAAACTCCTCAACGGTCAACATAATTGCCTGCGCAGGTAACTTAGCATCTCGTTACCCACAATTGATAATTATAGCCAACTCATGTCCTCGACACAATTTCCTTCTAAAGGCGCCCACGTCTAACTCTATAGCCCACAAAGCAAACAATAAGCAATAAAAGCTCAATGAAGAGCGATCTTCCAACAGTGAGACATATTGCTCAAGATCGGGTCCGACCGACATCCTAGCCAAGAGCCCCCAAAAACACAGCATGCACAGGCAATACAGGTCTGTACTGCATACTCTACAGTAATATGTCAACAAGCACACATGTCTAGACCTTATCGACGGAAATACCGGCTGGACCAGTGGCGTCCACTAGGCCAGTCGGATTCTCCACCTGTCAAAGGGATCATGTAGAAACGAATTCCCTTACCGGTCCATGAGAGAATAAAAATCTAAAGAGAAAAGGCTCTATTCAATTTGCTTGAATCTTTCGTATATATTCGGCCGTATCGAGAGCGAACCCTAGGTGGGTAATGAAAATTCGAATTCAGATATCAAAGTGAAACTGTGGGTCTAGACCCTGTGTGCCTCCCTGTATGCCTAGCAAGTGTCAACACTATTCTAATTTTAAATCCTAAAATTCCGACTTCGCCTGTGACCTTCGATTATTCTATTTGCCATGTTCTAGAGCATGCGGAAGGGCCGACTCGATGCTTCCCTAGGAAGAGAGAGTATCGTTTTGTTTACGGAGAAGGGATATAACCAGTTGGGTACTTAATTCAGGCTTCAACATTAAAACTAAAATCACGACACACAGAAATAAGAGCAGCCAGCGTCAGGCTCAACACAAACTACCTTAAGAAGAAGAACGAACAATAACACCCTCAAACCCAAACCAAGCATCAAAGCTCAGATATAAGAGTAGTTCGCACATATCTCCACCGACCTGGCAGGAACCTGTCGCTGGACAGCATCCATCTCCATCTCCTTCTCGTAGAACCAACACCATCCCCGAGCACAAACATAATGAATCCCATGCGGCGCCCCCGACATCTGCCTACGAGTGTACTCGCCGCATTGGCAGAGCGGATTAGCGGGACCTATCCCGCGTGCATCAGCGAAGCAGATGAATCGATCACATGGGTAACATATATAATATGGACGACCTGCATTGCCATTCGGGATGTTGTCGTTGACGATCCGTATTATGCCATCTCCGTAGCATTGGGGGCATCTGGGGGGATTTAGTCTGGTGATGGTCATTGTTGGAGTTGTCCACGGGGTGGTGGTGGTGGTAGGCTTGGTTCGCTATAGTGTTTGGATTAGATGCAATGCGATCTACGAGCTGGTAATAGGGAGGATGTACACATGCCTTCACTACAGCTTGCGGTGTTCAGAGATGGTTTGTTGTCGTATTGAAGTCTTCGTTGAACGGACTGTAGAGATACCTAGTCGAGTGGTCATTATGACGATCTCTATAGGTCAACATTGCGTGGATGTCTATACAATATCCGTCACGATGAACAGTGGATATATTTCCACACCGAATACTACACAGGAGTCATACCCTTCAGGGAAAGTGTCAGGTTACATAGTGATATTTCTATCTTGTACCTACCTCATTTTAAGATTTCTCAGCGTGTATTGACCATGGCATTATGAAAGTGGTCAGCATTGCTTGTGCGTTGCGCGCTGTTAAAGTTGACAGAGAATCCATGGCTCACTTGCTTACAAGGGTTGCGCTGTTGCCGAAAGCTACGTCTTCAATATGTTGACCTTGTTGACCACCCTACGCAGAAACCACAATGACTATAGCCAATCTATGCAATTGAAATTCAATTAAGCATCCATATTTAAGTGCATCGAGATCATGCTATGCCTCGCCTACAAACGAAACCCCTCTCGATATTTATTTTCAGTTGTCCAAGTTGAGAGAGACAACAGACTCAGGCATTTTTTTTCCAACAGTAAATGCGCGGCCAAGTATGGGTTGAGCTCATGGCTTAGGAATGTGTATCGTCTTGCTGACCATCATACACCCATGCAGAACGAACATCAAGACAACGGGGTGGAATTCGAAGATGGTACCCTCTGCGACAAGTCCAAGAGGAATGTTCTCGTGCGTCCAGCTTTGAGAGACCCAGTAGGCCATAACAGAGGCGATTGAAAGAGTGGTCGGGATGGGCGTGCCTTCGAAGTACTTGGATTTACCGCTTTGATCCTTGGGCAGTACGGCTACAGTCACGTTGAACCGAGCGAGGCGGGTCAGACCGCAGAGAACGAAGAATGTGAGGAAGACATGATCAAGCGAGGTGCGGATACCAAGAGCGAATGCGGCAGCGGCGGGAGCGAGACCGAAGGAGATCTAGTGGAGTAAGGGTGTTAGCAAAAACTCGCTTGTGGTTATTCGCGGGGATCCATTACCAAGTCAGCTAGCGAGTCGAGTTCTTGTCCCATGAGAGACGACTTCTTGCGCCACCTTGCGACTTTGCCATCCATAAAGTCGAAGAACAAACCGAAAGGCATGAATGCGAGGGCAGCCCACATGGCACCGTATTCAGTCGGGTCTCCGAGGCAGTATCGCATGGAGGAGAATACCGACATGACTGCTCAACATATTAGTCGCGGGCTGGAAAAACGGTTGGGGAACATGAGCTTGCCTCCACAGAAACCTAAGATAGAGTTAGCGAGTCAATTCAAACAAAGTCTGAAGATCTTGCGATCTCTTACCATTCATTTCAGTAATCAGATCAGCAAGATGCATGGCCCTGTTGAGTGTTAGACTGAGCCGAGGGCAAAGGAGCGCGGGAAGCACGAAACTGACTTCACCAGGCTGAAATGACCATGATCCGAGGAAAGTAGCATTTTCTGTTTCTCCTGACCTGAAAAATGTCAGCTATATTGCCAATGTAGGGTCAGAGGGAGCTCAAACACACCTCCATCGCCTGAAGGTGGGACACCGCTGGAAGAATTGCTCGATGCCATGGTCGATGTCCGACGAGACATGCTCAAATGGATATCAGATTCGAAAATTTTTACGGCAAAAGGATACTCTGTCTCAATAAGATGTCTAAAGGGCGAGATTGGGTGAGAAGAATAAAAATGCCGTCAATTCTGCTTGGGAGTGTTGACAGACGCACAGATTCGCTGAGCGGTCAACGTCATTTCAAACTGCAGGCAGGCAGAGGCGGTGCAGCTGCGCCACATCCACTAGCCACATCCCAACAGCCGATTATCCCCGAATTTCTAAACGAGTGTCTATGGTTTGATTGCAAGTTCTGGAGAATCCAACGAAAAATAACAGAAACATTTTTGACTGGTGATATTCTACAGCCTGCAGCCAGTGAAGTTGCAATTGCGCAGGATGCACAAGAAGACGGAAAGATATTCCTGAAAAAGCTCCCAGATCCCCCAAAACGCCAAAAAGAGACAGTACATTGGATCGATCAGTAGCCGCGACCGCGGAAGCCACCGCCACCACGAGGGGCACCGCGACCACGTGAGAAGCCACCGCCGCCGCCGCCGCGGGAGAAACCACCGCTACCACCGAAACCACCACCGCGACCACCACCGAAGCCACCACGGCCACGAGGAGCACCGCCACGGGCACCGAATCCACCGCGACCACGGGGGGCGCCGAATCCACCACGGCCACGGGGAGCACCACCACCGGCGCGCTTGGGCTTAGCAGCTCCTGGGGGAGGCTTGGGCTTGGGGAGGAACCTAAGAGGTGAGTTAGTCAGAGCATATAAGAATGAGTAGAACAGCGATCGTACTTCTCTAGAGGGAGCAGCTTATCTCCACCAATGTAGACCTTGTCACCAGCTTTGAAAGAAGTGGCGACAATCCCATCTTGGGGCTTGACGGTGAAGTAGACCTGGTTAATGGGACCGAGAATTTCGTCGACCTTTCCGATTTGAGTCTATAACTCAGTTAGGTCATGGACTTGTAAATCGTATTGATTTGCGGCAGTCATGGCGTACCTTGTTCTCCAGGTAGATAGGAGCGTTGAAGTAAGGAATCTTGGGGTTGACCGATTCGCAGACCATCTCACCCTCGCAAGAGTGCAGCACGGAACCCAACTCTATCGGCATATCAGCGACATGAATCAATTACAGTCAGGTTCAGAAGAATAATTACCCAGAACCTGGGCTGGGGGGCCGAATGACTGTTGGAAGCCTCCGCGACCTGCAACAAAAAAAATTTCGTTAGCTCCTTTTAACTTCTCGCATCGCATTCAGGTTGGAAAATTCTCACCACCACGGCCACCACCGAAACCTCCCCGGTTGGCACCAGAAGCGTTACCTCGACCACGGAAAGACATTTTGTGGTGATAAAGGTGATTGACTTGTACAAAGCTGGAGAAGTTTTCGCTTGGTGGAAACTTGAAGCGGTAAAGTGTCGGCTAAGGGCAGTACCATCACGTGACTTCGAGACTTAACTTTCACCGCCCTCACAAAGAGTTATTTTCCCCTCCACGCCGCGATTAGACTTCTTGCACTTGCTCACAGTCTAGTTCCCTTGTGCCATTGCTCCAAGGGTTTCAAAAATGGCATCCGAAACCCCCAAGGATATCCCCGTACGGCCTGCCGCTGAAACGCAGGCCAACAACGCCTCTGAAGCTGCGGCTGCCCCTCCAAAAGATGCGAAAGCGAAACCCAAGCAGGCCCCGAGCCCCGATACTCTCCCAGAAGTCATGCTTGAGCGAAACAAGCTCTTCGAAGAACTTTGGCAACAATATCTCGAGGAGACCAAGACTCGTCCCCACCCAGAGATCAACGTTACCCTCGACATTGGCGACGGCAACCCCCCTTCCTCAGTCCCTGCTAAAGCCTTCGAGACCACCCCTGGATCTTTCCTGCGCGATGTGCCCAAGGATCTCAGCGCCAATATCGTTATTTCCAAGGTTGATGGAGAATTGTGGGATTTGAACCGGCCTCTGGAGAAGGACTGCAGTGTGCTTCTTGTGCCTTTCAGCAACCCCGAGGCCCGTGATGTATTCTGGCACTCCAGTGCTCATACTCTGGGTGAGGCATGTGAATGCGAATATGGATGTCTTCTTTCCCACGGTCCCCCTACCCCTCAAGGTTTCTTCTACGACATGGCCATGCCTGATGGGTATGTCATCTTATCACCTACCATTTACAACTGCGCCAATGCTAATCTACATGGCAAAACAGACGTGTTGTTCGCGAGGCTGACTGGAAGGCACTTGACACTAAGGCGTCACGTATCTTCAAGGAGAAGCAAAGCTTCGACCGATTGGAGGTTTCTAAGGAGAATCTCAAGAAGATGTTCGCCTACAGCAAATACAAGCTGCACTATATTGACAAGCTCGTCACTGGTGAAAGCAGCACCGTCTACCGTTGCGGTACCCTTGTCGATCTCTGCCGAGGCCCTCACATTCAGAACACCGGTAAAATCAAGGCCTTCAAGATCATGCAGGTAAGCGTGACTGTTCGACCCCTTGACTGAGTAAGAAACATATTAACTTTTACTCCCAGAACTCATCGGCTTACTTCCTTGGTGACCAGTCCAACGACTCTTTGCAGCGTATTCGTGGTGTTGCCTTCCCCGACAAGAAGCAAATGGCTGAGCACTTAAAGTTCTTGGAAGAAGCCGAGAAGCGGAACCACTTGAAAATCGGCAAGGAGCAAGAGCTGTTCTTCTTCGATGAGGTGTCCCCCGGCTGCCCATTCCTCCTCCCCAACGGAACCAAGATTCTCAATCAGATCCAGTCTCTCCTGCGTTCTGAATACCGCAAGCGAGGCTACCAGGAGGTCCAGACCCCCAACATGTTCGACGTTAGTATCTGGAAGACCTCCGGACACTGGGAGCACTACAAGGATGATATGTTCAAATTGGATGTGGAGAAACGCGAGTGGGCTCTTAAGCCGATGAACTGCCCTGGACATTTCATTCTGTTCGGTCACCGTGAACGCAGCTACCGAGAGCTTCCTATGCGTATTGCAGACTTCGGTGTCCTGCACCGAAACGAAGCATCCGGGGCCCTAAGTGGACTCACCCGAGCTAGAAAATTTTGTCAAGATGATGCGCATATCATCACGGAAAGGAATGAAATTATGTCCGAGGTCGAGGGTCTGTTCGATTTTTTGCAGTCCATTTATGGTCTGTTTGGCTTTACCTTTAAGTTGAAGCTTTCCACCCGCCCCGAGAAGTATATGGGTTCGTTGGAGACCTGGGACCAGGCCGAGGACCAGCTCAAGAAGGCCTTAACCAAGTTTAAGGGTAACGATTGGACCATTAACGAGGGTGACGGTGCCTTCTACGGACCCAAGATCGATATCACCATTGCGGATGCTCTCAAGCGTGAATTCCAATGCGCAACCATCCAGCTGGACTATCAGGCTCCGATCAATTTCAAGCTGGAGTATCAGACCAAGAATTCCGAGGAGAACGCGAAAGAGGGCGAGTCCAGCGATCTTCCCCCCGGCCGTGCCCGCCCTGTTGTCATTCACCGTGCTATTATTGGTAGCTTCGAGCGATTCCTGGGTATCTTGATCGAACACTTTGGTGGCAAGTGGCCGTTCTGGATCAGTCCCCGCCAAATCCTGATTGTGCCGGTGATGCCGGATTTGAACGACTACGCCCAGGAGCTACAGCGTATCCTGCAAGGTGACAAGTTGAATGTGGACGTGGACATCAGTGGGAACACGCTGCAGAAGAAGATCCGTACTGGCCAGCTGGCCCAGTACAACTTTATCTTTGTTGTAGGTGCCCAGGAGAGGGAGGCACGCACCGTCAACATTCGCAACCGTGATGATCCTGCGACCCAAAACAAGGGCATCATGGTCCCCCTGGAGGAGGCGCGGGTCAAGCTCCGAGCACTGCGCAAGGAGCGTCGGCTGGAGAACACTCTGTAGGGGACATATTCGTTACTGATTTACGAAATTTGAAAAGTGAAATGAAGGACATGCGGATATTTTACTGATTCTACTAAATATTCCATACATACCTAATGTAGTAGAGTAATTAGGGTCTGAAACACACCTTCGGTAGACCGATATTTCTTGGCTTTAAATACAGGAAGGCCTATGTTGAACAAAGGGAGCTCATTTTTCTGCCGAAAAGATCCTGGTCTAAAAGATTAAAATGAGTGTAATTGTGTTTATGCGTAAATCTAACCAATATTACAACACCAGGAAGATTAACGATAGTACAGGAATCCTTTCTGGTCGACAGTCCATTCGAATCTTAGCCCCTATCAGAAAAGGCCGAAGCCTACGGAGTACTGTCTGTCAAGAATGGGATATGGCCCCTCTAGGCCTTAAACAAGAACCTTGGTTTTTGTTATGGTCTAGTGGTAAATTACGCTGTACGAAATTCAACACTGTCGTTACCCTCTGACATTTCTGCACTTCTGGTCCCTATACTCAGCTGTATGGTCCTTAGCCCTAATTTCTGTCTTGATCAAAACCCAATATCTTCATATAGCGGAGACTTTGTAGATTGAGCCCATAAAAGGAAATCAAGCTTTAAGATATGTTTACTTATTTTGTCCTATGTGTCAAAATAGCATCTTTTGTTGACACTATGTATGTGCTACGTCTGAGACAGCCATATTTCCCATTGCGTAGTTAGTTCTCTCCCTCTGAGCCATCATTAATTTATATTATCATCTTTACTTAATCTCTGCTCTCATCTGTAGTGCTTCAAAATAGACTGTAGTGTTGTGTTACTTGGCGAGCGTTCTTCCACCTAGCTACGCGAAGCCTTGACCGCAAGAGTAGCTCGAGCAGCTCATCGCTTGGCGAGGGGATCCCTCTAGTTAGCCACTAGAATTAGGCGGCCACAGTCGAGCTTTCCATGGGAAATACCGAGGTCTGGGAACGAACAAAACATCAAGAAAGACAGCCATAAAGACAACTAAAAAGAGATGACAAGGCCGCCAAGCGAAAAGCGGCTTCAAAGGCATTCTCAAATCATAAAATCATAAGTCCGATTTTATGACGGGCTCGGTAACTTGTATATTGCCTAGGTCACTACACCCTTCTGTTAAAGTGAGGATGCGGGCTACCGCAGTCTTTGCGTATGGCCTGTTTGCTCATGGCCTGTTTGTTAATGAAGTGTTTGTTAATCACCTTTCTCTCTTTATTCCCTCTTCTATTGCTCACCTCTTTTCAGCTCTATTCATTTCCTTCTTGCTCATCTATCCATTTTAGACCTCATAAGGAATATCATACTGCTCGCTCTGCTGAGGTCATCAGCCCTCAACCACTCATCCATCCATTTTAGACCTCATAGGTATCATCATCCTACTTGATCTGCTCTCTCTGCTGAGGTCTCGACATCTTCATCCTTCCAACCACTTTCATCAACATACCAATGAAGGAAAAGCCCTTCCCATGCCCTCGCGCAGAGGAGTTCGGATGTGAAAAAACATTCGCATCAAAGAAGTACGCGAGCAAGCATGTCAAGGTACATGACAGGGGCTTCCCATGTCCGCGTGCAGAGGAGCTTCATTGCCACAGGAGGTTCAGCTCTCAAGCTGGTGCAGATGATCACTCGGCAAGCCTTCATCACGAGGTCTTCCCATGTCCGCGCGCAGGAGAACTTCAATGTGACGAGACATTTTACTCGAAACGGAGGGCAAATGGCCATGCCGCAAAAGTCCACGCTCAAGCCAAATGGCGCTGTCCGCGCGCAGAGGAGCTTGATTGTCATGAAATGTTCGACTCCAAAAAAGATGCAGACGCGCATGTGAGAAACGTACACGACAAAGAAAAGCGCTTCCCATGTCCGCGTGCAGAGGAGCTTGGATGCGAGAAAACGTTTATCTCGACCAGAAACGCCAACAGACATGCTGAGCGTGTACACAATAAATCCAGATAGCCCTGCCCGCGAGCAGAGGAGGTTAATTGCCACAAAACATTTTCCTCTAAAAGTGATGCAAAGGTGCATGCTAAGAAGCATGACGAAGAGCAAGTGAGATGGCCTTGTCCGTTGGCAGAAGAAGCATCCTGTACCATGGAATTTGGTGCCAAAAATACGGCAACAAAGCACGCAGAGCGTGCCCATAGTGGGGGAACTAGGCCAAGTGTTCCCTGCCCACACGCAAAGGATCTCAACTGTGACAGTAGGTTCACATCGGTAGGGAACGCGAACAGCCATTCTAGGAAGGAACATCATCATTTCAGATGGCCATGTCCCTTGGCTAAAGAGAAGGGGTGTACTGAGATGTTTCGTAGCAAAAAGGGGGCCGAAACGCACGAAGTGAGAAAGCATGGTGCTAAGAGTTCTCGACGCTCCCTGGGAGGGAAAGGATTCCCCTGCCCAGGTGCAAATGGGATCAAGTGTGACAAAAGATTTGCCACGACACAAAGTGCAGCTCGACATGCGGAGGCGACACATGGGAAAGCCAGGTGGGCTTGTCCCTTAGCCGACGAAAAAGGGTGTGATTGGAAATTCACAGACAAGCACAATGCCCAACGCCACGCGAGGAACGCTCATGGGGATCCGGATGAGAGAGAGTTTCCTTGCCCACGCGCGCAGGAGCAAAAATGCTTTCTAATATTCTCTTCCCGGAGCAATGCAAAAGTACATGCTCAGACAAAACATCCCAAATTTGAGCCAGATGAGAAATTTACTCCGGCATGGCCCAAGACATCGCCACATATTCCCCTCAGAGATGTCGATGGAAAAATCATACCTGATTGGGACGAGCTCCCACAGCTGGGCTTTCTGAACGGCAGGTGGATATGCCCAGAGCTAGGTTGTAGCACAACATACTTGACCTACTTTAACCTAAAAAAGCACTACTTGGCCGTCCATATGAGGGCTCGTTGGCCCTGTGAGTACGCTGAGACATTCGGTTGTGACGAAACGTTCCCATCGATCTACGATGCAAAACAACATGTGGATAAGCATTATCCCAAGCCCAGGTGGATATGCCAGTTCGACCGATGCTTTTCCCGAATACAAGGTAGGAAGCAGACACGAGTTTGCGCCTTAGCGCATTATAGGACGCATGTTCAACGAGGACACTTTCAAGAGGGGGAATGCGAGCCTTTGAAGGTATGTAATAACGAAAGAACAAATGAGCATCATCTAATGGGAAAAACAGGTCCCCGGTGGGAATATTGAAGCCGAGAATGAACCCAGAGACGACTATTGGGGAAGTGAAGCCGGGAGCGACATAGTTGAGAATTTGGGGGATGAAGAAGACGAAGAAGAAGACGAAGAAGAAAATGAAAATTTGGAAAATGAATTTGACGACGAAATTGAGAATTCCGAATATGAACCGACCACGAAGTGGGCAGCTGGGCGGTTGAAAGATACGCAGAAGGACGAACCGCCAAAAGACCAAGACAAACTCAGAAAAAGTAAGACATATGAGATATTACTACCTCATGTCCCATTGCTAATTCTCATAATTTAGTTGCTCGGTCTGAAGGCCTTCACCATCTCGGCCTTAGGTGCCCAGGGTCGGGAAGGGTCATTGAGGGATTGGTGCTTGGTATGCCGTGCCCAAATAGCACGACAATCACGTTCCAGACAGGTGTTTTTTACAGACATCATCGAGCAAAGCATATTGGGCTCAAGTGCAGATGCGCACCCTGTAATGGGCGGTTTGTGTTTAACGAGTTTTTGAGATCGAATTTTCTGGAGGCAGATGATAAGCAGACATTATGCTGCCACAAGAGTTGCTTCAAACTTACATGGGAGGGCTCAAGATTCTGCCAGAAACACTTTCTTGCCTGGACGCCAGAACTCCTCGTCTACGACGAAGCCGCAATGAAGGAGCTTAGGAGTATGTTCGATGCAGTGGCTTCTCAGCAGTGGCGCCCCGAGACAGAGATAATGGCGAACCTCATCAGGAGGATGGAATCCGACAGCGAAGCCGATATCCCTCCTTCCTATTTGGTGAATATCGACCTGGAATGCGGTTTCCGTTCCAAAGAGGTACTCGAAATTGGCCTCGCTGATATCGAAGGGAAAGGTGTACTCAATTGTACCACCAAATACAGTGACGGGATCATCGCGCCTTCCTCGTCGAGCCCTGCACCGCTAACTCATTCCCAAATGTCGTATGACAAGAAGGTCAGAATGTATATTGCGTCGGATGGCCGCCTTCGTGCAAAGCAGGTCGTTAAAAAACTCCAAGAAGTCGGTATTTCCAACAAAACCTTTTTCCTGGCTTGGGCGTCGTGGCGCTTCGACCTAATTTATGTGAGACAATGGCTGCAACAAGAAGGTCTTAGCGGCGTTCTCCCCGGGGATGAGAATGTCTGCTTGCTCTTCCAAGAGTTCCGCACCAACGTGAGGCGGGTGCTTGGTCGCACCTGCTTCAAAGGCAGGTCATTTCCTCTCAAGTTACCTTTGTTGTTTGTGTTGCTCTTCGGAGATACCCATCCCCTCGCAGGGCGTAACCACCGTGCACTGGTGGACGCTCAGCAATTAGCCTTGCTGGCGAGGTTGTTTATCGATCTTTGCAAGCCCCCCAGCAGGCGGGTTTACTGGCGGGCATCGACATTGAAGATGCCATTCCCTGGCAAGAGACAGCAAAAGCTGGACCTTTTCTTCCCACCGAGCAAAAGAAGAAAGCTCTCCTGAGATGTCGTCCTTTGTATACATCTATCAATACACCCATTTCTTCCGAATGAATTCTTCGTAACCCTAAAAGGTTTAGACTGGCGACTGTAGAACCTTGGAGCCCTCATAGAATATATTCAAAGACATGTTTCAGCCACGCTTTCCGAGTCTTTGTTCGATTTGCTTTCGAGGATGCAGATATGTAGTCTGTATGGAGACGGTATACAAAGGAATAGACTCTATTTCGCTCTTTTGACAGCGAAATGAATAAATCTTTGGAAATTCAAGAATTCCAAGTCTTCCACAGTAGGTCTTTCGGTCCTAATTAAATTTAGAACTTCTTTGAAAGATCAAATTCATTCAGAGCAATAGTGGACTTCAACGCTTTTGCGTGGCGGATCACCCGCGGGGACTGCGGGGCTGAAACTCATCACACTTCTCTCGACTCTTCACCCTTTTTTTCCCCTTCAACTTCTCTCTTTTTTGTTTTTGAAGACACCTTGGACCCTCGTTAATTCCATTTTCCTTCGTCGCCTTGCCTTCCCTCTAACACTCTACGACTCTACGACGCGACATCCCGCCATGGCTGATTTACAAGGTCGCAAGGTCTTCAAGGTCTTCAACCAGGACTTTATCGTGAGCGAGCAATACAATGTGACAAAGGAGCTTGGCCAGGGAGCCTATGGTATCGTGTGGTAGGTCTTGATGCCTGTGGATGATACTCGTTGGACACGTGCTGATGGCATAATGAAGCGCGGCTACCAACATCCAGACCGGCGAAGGTGTCGCCGTCAAGAAGGTGACCAATGTCTTCAGCAAGAAGATTCTGGCCAAGCGCGCCCTCCGTGAAATTAAGCTGCTTCAGCATTTCCGTGGCCATCGCAATGTAAGCCGCAGATCATCCTTATCGTTAACTGTACGCGCTAACTCAGCCCTCCAGATTACATGCCTGTACGATATGGATATTCCCCGACCGGACAACTTCAACGAAACATATCTCTATGAGGGTACGTGGTCTGCTGCTTTGCGACGAATAGAGCTGGACTGATAAGCCTGCAGAATTGATGGAATGTGATCTGGCTGCTATCATCCGCTCCGGCCAGCCTTTGACTGACGCCCACTTCCAATCCTTCATCTACCAGATCCTCTGTGGTCTCAAGTACATCCACTCGGCCAACGTCCTGCATCGTGATCTCAAACCCGGTAATCTGCTGGTCAATGCGGACTGCGAGCTCAAGATCTGTGATTTCGGCCTGGCCCGTGGGTTCTCAATCGACCCGGAGGAGAACGCGGGATACATGACTGAATATGTCGCGACGAGATGGTACCGCGCACCGGAGATCATGCTGAGCTTCCAGAGCTATACCAAAGCGAGTATGTAACACCGGCATGCATAATTTGCCACTGAATCCCCGCTAACCCCACTTGTGCAGTTGACGTCTGGTCCGTGGGCTGCATCCTCGCCGAGCTCCTCGGCGGCCGACCCTTCTTCAAGGGCCGTGACTATGTCGACCAGCTGAATCAGATCCTGCACTACCTGGGTACACCTAACGAAGAGACCCTGGCGCGCATTGGATCGCCCCGCGCCCAGGAATACGTGCGCAACCTGCCCTTCATGCCGAAGGTGGCCTTCAAGCAGCTGTTCCCTCAAGCCAACCCCGATGCGTTGGACCTGTTGGACCGCATGCTGGCGTTCGATCCATCGTCTCGTATCTCTGTCGAGGAGGCCCTCGAGCACCCCTACCTGCATATCTGGCACGATGCCTCCGACGAGCCGAACTGCCCCACGACCTTCGACTTCCACTTCGAGGTCGTCGAGGAAGTTCCCGACATGCGTAAGATGATTCTCGACGAGGTCATCCGCTTCCGTGCGACCGTCCGCCAGCAATCGCAGGCCCACGCCGCTCAGCAACAGCAGGTCGCTCAGCAGACTAACATCCCCATTCCGGATAACCAACAGGGTCCTTGGAAGACCGAGGATCCTAGACCTCAGGAGGCTACCGCTGGCGGTGGCTACAACCCTAATGACTTGGAATCCTCGCTGCAGCGCGGCATGGACGTGCATCACCGTTGATACCTATTTTCTTCTTTCTGACTTGTTGGTTGTTCGGCGTGTTGAAATCCGATCGTGTCTTCTACCGCGCCCTGCATGTTGATCTAATTTAGCCAAGAGATACCATCAGAGAACCAAAAAAAGACTGGGACGATTTACATGGGGGTTCTTTTTTCATCATTATAACTGCGACTTCGAACTCGACTTTCTCATCTCTATTTGTGGTTCTGCGCTCTCGCCCGATTTTATAGCTTGGATTGTGTCTGCGTTTGGTAATTATTTTGGTATAACCTTCTGTTCATGTCTGAATCCTTTGGCTACTTCCAAATTTCAAGGCGCCATTGGTTGTGGTTTCTGGATATGATACTTGGGTCTCTGTCTATGGCATTACTCTGTGCATTGCATCTCTTTCAAGTAGGATCATTAGATAGATTGTCAATCAATTCTCCCCTCGTCCGCTGTCTGTCAATGAGTAATCATTTAGAACACGTAGCTCAAACATATCATTATCCTTTGTACCTAGTACTAGGATTTGGCCCAGTATCACTGTATGTTTATGTGCCGATTGCTTGCTAATAACCCGATTTTTCTTTATCAAATCCAAGCTTCCACCTCTAACTATACCATCTAGGAGCATAGCTCCCCGTTCGGGAAAGTCCACGTGCCAAGCCACGTGCCCAATCGCCCGATACACACCAAAACAAGTAGGCGGTAACCTTCTGCCCCCAAATGGAGGTTATAATGAACTGAACGCATAGATACTTCGCCCTTCGGGGCATATGGTCAAATGAAAATATACAGAGAAGATTAGCATGGCCCCTGCACTAAGGATGACACGCTCAATCAAAGAGAAGCTACCTATTTTTTTTCTCTTTTACAGGTCCTTCGTTATGGAGATGGGATGCGGGGCTTTGTAGTAGAATGTGATTGGTCCTACGCTTTTGGGAAGTCATGTGCCCATGCTGTAAGGCTAACGGTTGGGTTTCGAATGACGTTGTCGACGAATCCACTTTTAATTTACTTGACATCTGCGGAGTACGGAGTATGTACTAGTTAGGGCTATGCAATGTGCTCACTAACTCTGGAACCTGTGGACCTACAAAACCAAGGACCTGCAGTAGTTACTGAATTACATGTAGGCTGTTAGCTACATGTGAATATCCTGATTGATTATCACATCGGCCGCGCTTGCCTCTATCGTTGAGAATAACATGATCTAGTTGGCTTGATCGTAGTTTTTTTTTGTGTCCTTGTTGATCTCTTTTGATATGCATGTTCTTGCCCTTCTTAAGTCCTGTAAGTAGACAGCAGAAAAAGGTGGAAACATTACTTCTATATGTATAACCTTTGATAGGCAAAACCACAAGTTCAACCTTGCCATGCTAGCACCTTCTAAGGCTACATATAGGAGGCCATCCTGTAGCTTAGAGAGATACCTCCGCTTGCTGCGACGTATATATGATACAGACAGGTGATTCAGTGAGCTCCGTACCGCTGCGTGAGCAATCACGAGCAATACGTCGCAAGCCTTGGGAATAGCATAGACAAATGGATAATCAGACTAGACAAAATGAAATTCATATATTCATATACGCTATCATAGCAAAACTAACCGACTATAGCCAGCAGACTCGCCCTATAGACCAAGCCGGGAGATATTATATCAAAAGAAGACTGATATATCTCAATAATAATACCCCCGCCACCAAACAGCCATGCAAGCCGCAACAACCAAATCCAGCATTTTAATGCCCTCATCCTCAATAACCAACTTCCCCAGTTTCGCACTCTTCCCCCTTAACCCACCACCAGCAGGCTCCCTCGCAAGCGAAAAGTCCAAGCGATCCTCATCGGACTCATGATCTAAATCCCCGCCACTGCTATTACTCGTACTGCGGTGCGAATGCGACTGAGAAGTGGAGTGATGTTGACTATGGCGCGCGAAGCGGTGCGCATGCATAGAGGTTCTGCGGAGGATGGTTGAAGGGCTGAAGTTTGGACGTGAGTCTGCTGGGGGCGAGGACGGGAGAGGTGGGGTGTTTGGGCCAGGGCCTGAGTGTGCGCGCGGCCGGGCGTAGGTGTTTGGGTTTAGGAGTTGGGTGAGAGGGTTGCGCTTTGCGGCTGCGTGGCTGTTGTTGGAGAGGGATGTATGGAGGGATTCTTCGTAGGAGTTGGGGTTGTTGTCGTTTGGGTAGTCGTTTGCGCGGGGGATGGTCGGGGTTTGAAGTTGGCTTTGGGTGAAGGGGGAAATGTGGTTCGGGTGCGGTTTGTGGACTGCGTGGTGGGCGTGCGAGTGGAGGTTTGCTGCTTGGAAGGGGGTGTTGAAGCGGAGCTCGGCGACAGTTACGGCGGGGGGTGCTTCTGTTTCACCGTTTGTAGGGATGAAGCCACCGGGTGTTGGGATCATGTGTTTGCACTTGAGACTTCGGCCGTTCACGCTGGTTGTGAAGGTACATGTGCCATTCCAAGGAGAAGTGAAGACGTAGTAGCCGCTTTTTAGCTTGGAGGATGGGCCATCTGGGTTAAAGCCGTTGCTAAAATCTGTGCCAGCGGAGTCGTCGAATGGCTTCGACACGCAGAGCTGGCGGCGGAATTTTCGTGGGCCGGTTGACTGCTCCTTTGACTGCTCGGTGGCTAAGGTTTGAGGAATGGCAGAGTTGTGTAGGCGTCCAATCCCTGTCGGAATATTGACCGCTAGGTTGGATAATGAAGGCATCTCATTGGAGCCTGCGAACCTGTTATACCCCGGCGTGGAGATCTCGATATCGACGGTATTGCGGTCCATTCGTGGGGTTGATATAGTTGCCACATTCCATTGTGTACCGGACGTGGGATCGCGTCGGATGAGCGTGATATGAAAGCCAGCATTGCTAGGAGGGTTTCCATTTGAGTTTCTATGGCGGTTGGGAGATTGCCCCGGACTTCCTAATGGTGATCCGGGACGGTTATGCGAGGAACGCGGCCGCAA